AAATTAACTTAAAAACTCTGGAAATAATGTATAATATATTATAAAACAATTAGTTAATTATTTTTTCTTGTAAAAGTTAGTAGAGGACAAGTTTTCAAATTTGTGGCAGAACAAGAAGGCTTTTTTTTTTTATCACCAAGTTATTATTACCACCAATTTCCCAATGAAGTAGTTATTAATTATTTAATTAGGAAATTACACAACTAATAATTTCCTAATAAAATAATAATCAATTAAAGGATTATTTATTGAACACTGTCACTGATTGAAGCAATGTTGTTGTTTAGTAGATATTATTGAGTAAATTATATATATATATATATATATATATATATATATATATATATATATATATATATATATATATATATATATATATATATATATATATATATAATATATATATATATATATATATATATATATATATATATATATATATATATATATATATATATATATATATATACTAAACAACAGCTCAAAAAAATAAAAAAATTAAACAGAAACTCATAAAATATTTAATAAAAAAATTGTGTTAATAAAAAAATGTAATATTGGCCACATATGATCAGATACATTCAAATAACATCGCAAAAAAATAAAAATTGAAAACGCCAACAAAACGGGCCATCAAAAAAAAAAAGTAATTATAAATGAAATGTTTTCACCAACCATTTTGTTTTTCTCATACAATATCCAATAAAAGTTTATTCTAAAAATAGAAATCAAAGTTACGTAAATAGATATCATGCATGAAAAGGAACACTATTTGTTATCAAACGGCTTATTAATTAATTAAAGTAAAATAAATTATTTTTGCAATGTCATAAAATACCGGGGGGCATCAAAATTTTTAAATTCACTTCTTTTTTAAAATTTTATATTTTGTGTTGCTTCATATTTTGAGGCAATTTTGAATTGTATTTTAAATTTATATGTCCTATTTAGTCCTAATACTTTTTATATAGAAAACATCAAAATTAAAAAAAGTTAATAATCAAAATTAAACTGCATATATATAGTTTATTACAGATTGTTAAAAAAAGTTAATTTAATAAACTACACAACCTTTTCATAAGCATCATATTTATAATGACGTAAGAATATATATATACTTTTTTTTTTTTCATTTTTTAACATTTTTGTAATCAAAAAACCTATCCGTAAGATTAATAAACAGATAAATAAAAAAGTTTAAAAAAAATGCTACAAACAAAGTATTGACCAAACATAGCTTGGGGGTGTGTGACACCCCTCCCCCCATCAATGATTTTTAGTTGGCAAATTGAACTTTTAGTCGGCAAACTGGACCCTTTTAGATTAGTTAGTCGGCAAATGTCGACCCTTTTGATATAGGTTAGTCGGTAATCCAGACAGTCGGCAAATGTCGTCATGGCAGTCGACAAACTTTCGAAAACGAAAACCTTTTTTTTTTTTTGTAACAGCACCCCCCAAGTGACACCTACTCGCGCCGGCCCTGGATATATTTTTGTTTTTTCTTCATCAAAATTTTTCTTATGGTTCTAAAGGTTCTTTATTTTTTTATAATTTTTTAAAAATCAATTGCATCTTATTTGATCTTTTTTATTTTTGAGTATGGCAGTGTAAAAATGTTTTGGTAAACTATTAGCAAAATTATTATATGACTAAACATCTAAACTTGCTCCCGTTTCTTGGGTTGATTTGGTAAAAGAAACTCTTTTTAGTACACGAACCAAAACAAACTCATAGCTTTTAAATTGTAGCTATAACCCAACTGTTCGTGCCATACTGCATATAAGCCAAAATGCCTTGTTAGAGTTTAGTATATTAACAAGTTTAAGGACATCCGTTTAAAATTTTCCATTTAAAGTTTTCCTTATTGAACATCTCAATTTAGTTTTGGTTGCAAAATTAAGGAACCTATGCATTCAAAAGATTTTAAAGACATATTCCTTGCTGCTTTCAAACATATCCACTTATTTCACTTTTACATGCTACACCTGTTATTATTCTCTTGCTCCCCATTTTAGTTTTACTAACGTTGTCACGCGTGTTTTCATTCTCTTTATAAAACGCTTCTTAATTAAAATCATTAAAATAAAAATTTCTGCCTCAAATTGAAGATATTATTTATGTATCAATTAATAGTTTTGTAAAGATATTTAAAACATAGGAACAGCATCTGGGGATTTCATAAATTCATTTTACATTGGTAAAGCCTAGTTCCTAGCTGTAGTTTTATACATTAGTTTTATTTATCCTATTAAAGCCATTATTGTATAGTTTTTATTTGGTTAATTACAAACCCTTAGCAAAAATCAACATTAACTTAAAAAAAAAAAACTATAAAATAAACTATAAAAAGTTTTATCAAAATAAGAGCAAGTGCAAATAATTTTTTTAACAAGAAAAAATTTACAAAGATAAAGTAGTCATTCATTCAAACCAAATGACACATCAAAATCGGTTTTGGTTCAATGCAACGCTCAAATGGTTTCAATTTTTGTATTATTTAGTTTGACACCAATTTTATCTTTTTGCTTCAAGTCCTATTCTGTTTACTTTTATTTAATTTTTTATGCTTAAAGTAATTTAAATATAACTAAAAAATCAAACAATAGCAATCCAATTTTACAAGATATCAACAGTCAAAAAACTTTAAATTTTATTACAACCTGTTTGTTTTTATGAAACATGTATTAGCAGTTAAGAGTAATAACTTAAAACAGCATTCAAATTTGACAATCAAGAGGTTTGACATTTAAAGCTTAAAAACTGAAGTAAATATAGTCTCTCCCTTGTTAAGTTAAAAAAAGGAGATTTTTTGTGGAATACTTATACTTTCAAATATAAGTGTTTTAAATATTTTACTTTGAAACTATGAACAAAAGTTTTTTAGCAGTTCTGACACATAAAAATATACAATTCAAAACGTTTCATTTTTTAATCTTAAACCGCCTAAAATGTTTTAGAATTTAAAAACTTCATTATGTAATTTAAAACTCTTGCAATATATCCTATTCAAAATGTTTGTATTCGCGTTTTAAATGCGCAAATGTTAAGAACTAATATACTAAGCTAAAGGTTATTTATAGTAGAAAAAGACATACTTGCTTGATAATACTTAGGGTAAACAGAAATGCATACTGAAAAGCTCTCTTACTTGAGTTTGGGTGTTGATATTTGGATTTTATATGGTCGCACTATAAATTAAAATCATAATAAGAATCATAACGGGATATACCTAAATAGGCTTTCCTATTATACTATATCATCCTATTGTATAAGGTTTCAAGTATTAAAAAATATATAGTGTCACTAATAATATATAAAATCATTTTTATTGAACTTTAACTGTTTTTACAAAAAATTATTTGCTCTATATTTTAAAACGAGTCATTTATAATTATTAATAGCTCAAATCTTTTTATGATTTTAAACTTTTTAATGGTTCTATTATTTTACTTTACTTTTTTAATTTTTTTTTTAATTTTTATTTATCTTTCCTAACTTATTCCATTGAAATATAATTGTTTGAAATATTGATTATAATGCTAATTATTTATGAGTTTTTTTTTATTTTATTCTCTATATATTGTGTATCTATTTTTTAATAACGCTTTCGAAAACCCCCTATTAAAAGGGCTTAGTGATGAGCCAATATGTCTTGATTGAAAAAAAAAATTTTAAAAGAATCAAGATTTTTAAACATATTGACAAAATGTTTATTATCATCATTCTGTTTACTTTCACATTTTCATCAACCCCTTTCCATGCTAAAGATCCCTATGCTTTTAATGTCACCGTTTGCTACACTGATGATTACTTTGAGATCAAACGCACAGTTTATACAAATATATAAAAGTACCTCTTGTAACCTTGATTGTGAAGTAAACAAATCGTTTATGAAATAAAACACTGTGTTCCGGCCCTGCTTTTTAACTCAATAGTACGTCAATATTTGCTCAAAAACTAACATTTTAATTTTGAATTTACTTTTAAATTTGTGTGCGTGATTGTGCGTGGAGTTTTTATGTATGTGTGTGTGTATGTGTGTGTATGTGTGTGTGTGTGTGTGTGTGTGTGTGTGTGTGTGTGTATATGTGTGTGTGTGTGTGTTTAAATAAATTCGGTGTTAAGTCACGTTTAGATAAAAACTGTTAACAAATGTCTTATAGAAAAGTATGAAAAAATGAAACTTTTTTTAAAAAAAGGTTTTGCTTTTTATGTTTTTATGAAAAATTGATGAATAATTTGATTTGTTTTCATTAATTAATTATTACCAAACATAAAAGTATAAACGTCCACTAATTAGACGTAAGTTTATTATTTGGATCGTTTATTTGACGTCTCCTTATACAAGTTTTTACAACGATAATTTTTGCATTTAAATATTTGTTGCGACTTGCGTTTTCTGTTAAATAATTTAAATTTTAAGAAATTAAGGAAACATTATTCCAAAGATGCAAATACTAAATCTGCTTTGAATCGAGATGGTTAACACCATAAAATATTTAGTAGTTAAAATACTATACATAAAAATTTGAAATAAACCTAATTTAATATTCTAGTGTTTCCGTATAAAAAAACACGCGAATGTTTTGAATATTCTGTGGAATTACGTTAAACATATTAGTACATTATATAATGTTAAAAAATAATGAATTAATGAATTTGTTTGCTTCTTTTAGCCTATAAATATCTTTCCTCTTAGTTACTGCAAATACTTGTTTTTACTGAGTGTATTCCAAAGAGCTCTTTAAAAATATGTTCTTCTGAGGCAATTAATGTTGCGGAAGTTTTAGCTTTAAGTTTTTGCTAAATAGATGTTTTGTTGGATTTTGAGCCACAGCTGGATTCTTTTTTATGGAGATTTATTTTGAATAATTTTGAATTTTTAAAGTTTTGATGAATATAAACATTTTTGTAATTAATCCTAACTAGCAATTGCACTACGACAAAAGCAATACAGTGTCCTGATTGCATATTGTTTTATTGCAGGAAATAACTCAGCAAAGTATTTTTTTAGTTTAGATACTCAACTTATCATTAATGATAATTGAAGTAATTTATTGTTATAACAACAAAGTTAAATTTTTTCGTAAGATAATCTAGAACGTACGCACCAAGTTTAATAGTATACTGGGGTAAGTAAATTTAGAACTTTTGAATAAACAAAGTTTATTCAAAAATTTACGATTAAAGTAAACTTGTCAAATAAATATAATGATTTGTTTACTACTTCTTGTTTACTAGTTTAGTAGTTAACTTGATTTTTAATAGTGTAGTGGTTAACATTAAACTTACAATTACAACCCAATATCAAACGTAATACGCGTTAATTGATATTGAGTTCATGATGCTAATAAGAATTTGCCTGTTTTCAATGTAAGTTTAGTTTGTGAACCATTTTAGCATTATAAATTATATATATATATTTTAGGACATTTATAAAACAAATAAAAAAGACAATGCAAAACTGCTCAACTGTTTAATCACCAAATGAGAAATTTAATCAAAATACGTTGAAAATGATAGGAAAAAAAAACTTTTCAAATTTTGGTTTTTGCTTTGGTAATTTATTTTAACAAATAATTAGTTACTAAAGAAAGTTGCTTCGGTACTGTAAAATTACAGTTCATACTGTTGCAATCAACATTACAATAACTACATTACAGAAGTATTTGTAGCTTATAAATACTTACAAGAAGAATGCCGAGAATGGATTACAACTTTAATAACACTGTCTCACTATGCGAATCAATAGAAGACGGCGAAGAAGTTTCACTCAAGCCAGATAATCAAGATACGATTCAATTAGACACTTTGGGCAACGAACACGCTGACAGTGATGGTAGTATTAAATTTGTCTTAACTGGCTTATTGGTATCTCAAAATGATATAGTTTCTTCAAAAGACTTAAAAAAAGGCTGGAAAAAGTATTTTCTTATAGGTGTTGTTATTTTTATTACGATATTAATTATTGGGGGAATTGTTGCTTTATTTACACTTAAAAAGTCAAACGATAAAATTTGTTTACAACAAGCTTGTAGAAAAGAAAACCTATCGCTTCCAAAGTATGCACCTTCCTCTTCATCTTCTTCATCTTCTAAAACAACTTCAAACTCTTCTTCTTCGCCATCTTCTTCTTCATCTTCTTCATCCACAATAACAAAAAATCCTGTTGAAAAACAAAATGAACTAGTATGTGAAACAGAGAGGTGCACACTTTTAGCCGAAAACCTCAAAAAATCAATAAACTTTTCTGTAGATCCGTGTGATGATTTTCATGAGTTTGCTTGTGGTATATGGCCTGCTACTCATCCAATTCCTCCATCAGAAGCAAAACTAGATACAATGGGACTTTTAAATTTAAACAAAAATATGGCACTTCGTGATATAATAGAAAAACAAAAAAATCAGTCTAGTGGAGATGGCTTCAAAGCTAAAATTATTCGATTTTATGATTCCTGTATGAACATGGAGTTAGTAGAAAGCTTAGGAAGCAATCCTCTTAAAAAGTTCTTATTGAATTTTGGTAAGTGGTCTCCTGTAAAATCTAATGCAACTAATGACAAAGACATCACAAGCTTGCTTATTCAAAGCCATCAATATTTTACTCCGTCTGTCTACGATGATACAATTCAATCACCTCTCTTTAAATCTATTGTCAAAGTAAATGACATTGACTCATCAAGACATATTTTAGAGGTATGAACATTTTGATTTTATACTTTCATACATAAACATCACAATAATAATATATTTATAATTTAAATATGTTTAAGTAAATTTTTAAAAAAGAGTTATAAAGTAATTATTAGGAAACAATAAAAAAATAGTTATAAAAAAGAGTTATACAGTAATTATTAGGAAACAATGAAAAAATAGTTATAATTTTTTAATAACCGTTAATTTTATTTATAATAATAATTGTTGTTAATAATAGTAATTGTTGAAGTTTACAAACTCTGATTTTTGAGAACAGTACTCTCTTTTAGCTGTGGGCAATACCTCTAAAATTACCACACAATAAAAAAACGTTATGCGCATTTTTTGAGCTCATGTACTGCATTAGAAAAACAGCAAACAAAATAACTCTATGTAAAATGCATAATCCTGATGTATATAAAAAGAGAATTTTTGAAATTAAATTAATTTTTTGAACTAAATTTGCTTAAGGACTTTATGATAAAGTACTGCTTAAAAAGATTTTTAACTTTGTGCAAACAGCTGTTATTGGATTGTTAAGCTTCTTTTTGTATTAAAATTTGAGCGTGACTTATAAAATAATTTAGCATCTAACCTTTACGCTAAGTAAGACGTCTATACTTTAGTAAAATAAAACTTTACTTTAAACAAATTAGTTATATCAGGCTTAATTTAACTTTTGAGTTTTAGCTCATTTACTGGTCTCGTACTATTTATTAAAATTATTTGCATTTTATTTCACTATTTTTGCTGTTTTTTAAGGGTTTTAAGGATTTTGTTTTGTTAAAAAAATTTACGTCAAAGACTTAGATATAAAATTGGAAAGAGGGGTTGGTTAGAGAATCTAAATTTTTTACCTTAAATGCATGTTTGATACGTTTTTTGATAAAAAATATTTTTAACTAAACAAAATTACAAATTATTATTATGCTTTAGTTTGTTTTGTTTTAATGGTTCACGTTTTATAAATCTCCTTTGAAACTAATGCTCACAGATCACTCACAGATACTAAAATGTTTATAGTATTATAAACATATGTAAAACACATGCTTGATTTTTTTTTTATAGTTTAACACGCCAGATTTTCCGATTCCTGATCCTTCTATATATCTCATGGATGATCCAAACTCTAAATTTGTATGTTTTTAAAGTTTCGTATATCATATAGTTAAAGAGTTATATATAATTTTACTATAATACTAATTATTTAATTATACTAATATTTTATTACACTAATTGTTTAACTATACTAATATTTAATTATATTAATGAATTAATTATGCTAATATTAAATTATATTAGTTGAAATTTTAATTATCTATAATAATTTTTTAATTTATATAATTTTTACTTTCTTTAACTTTTTTCTTTTTAACAAGTTGTTTTTTTGTTGTTTTTTTTATGTTTTTTTACTTGATCACTTTTTTTCATTTAATTTACGTCAAATAATTTTTTTTTTATGTAAAACATAAATGTGGATACACATATACATAAATGTGTACACATACATACTTAAGTCTGCGTAAGTTTAATGTAAAACACGTACTCACGTGTTTTACATTAATGTGTTTAATACAAATATTATACAATTTTTTTTTTCACACATATATGTTTTTTAGGTAAATATGGTAATATACCATAAATTCATTTCATAAACAAATACTGTACAAAACATAAAAAATAATCTAGAAGCTTAGTAAAAAAAGGTAGATGGATAAGAAGCGGTGAGTTGATCTGAAGTGGTGAACAAATAAGCAGCTGTAGGTAGATGTGAAATGGTTAATAGATTTGAAGTGGTGGATTGACATAAAGCGGTAGAACTGCATAAATGCAAAATAATAATAAAAAAGAAAACATTTGAATAAATGAAAACATAATAGTATAATAATAAGAAAAAATGAAGAACAATTCAAAGTTGTACCATAAAATGCAGATTTCAATTTCCATGCAAAGGTGCCTATGACTATGTAGAGTTAACTAAAGGCTATCTTTAATAAATAAAAACTTTAGACTTACCAATCTTTTTTTGATCTTACAGTGTTTTAGATAAAAGAGATCCTGACCCCATACGATATTTGGTCTGAAAAAAACGTCTATTGAATGTTCAACAGACGTTCAGAAGGTTCTAAAAACGTCTTAAAGGTGTCTTTTTTGGACCAAATGCTGGCCGGGACACCTCTACTCTATTAAGGTTGAATAGAATAAATTTTACCTCGTTCATATAAGCATTTTAATATTATTATCGGAATTTTAAGCAACTTTTTATTAAATAGAGTAAAACAAAACAAGTATTTTTAAAAATATAATTAAAATAAAACTAGTTTTAGTTAAAAAAAATTTTGAAAGATATGGCCCCATTTTACATAATAAATATTTTTTAAAAAGTTGTCAAAATGTAGAGTTTAATAACTTTATTTATTTGCAATCAATAATTATTAATTGATAATTATGTTAGACAAGAGTTGCTCGTAACGACAAGTTTCTAACACTATAACTGTCAGAAAGTCTAAATATTATATAATGTTAATTAAGATAATTAATCACATAGAAACGAAAAGTTAAATAACCAACATGTAATCAGGTATTTCTAATGTGTAACATTTAATACCATTATTAGATGCTTTTAAAAAATTTAAGTGCTTTTTAGTTTTATTAGATTTTTATAAGTGTACTCAGAAGTATTCTTCATGCTTATAAGTGCACTCAGGTGCTCTTAAATGTCCTTAACTGCTCTTAAATGTTTTTAGCTAACTCTTGAGGTAAAGCAATTAGCATTTATTTCGTAGGTTGCAAATACTTTTTTAGTAAATAACATTTAGTTAGCGTTAATAATATTTGGTCGCATGGCAAGCGTTCTAGTAATATCATTGTTTTAATTTTGAATTCTTACCTTCATTTGATTAAAGTCTGTTTTTATTTTAAACATACGCTAAGTTAGTATGGCAGTAAAAGTTTTAAGCATGTATAGATTTATAAATAATTTAAACAAATGGCATAAAGACATGGATTACTTTATATATATATAAATAGCGCAGCAGCCTTCTTCGTCGAGGTTTGTTTCTCGGAGATATAAGGTAATAATAACAATGGTTGAAAATAAAAAAAAGAAAGCTTTTTCGACTGTAGTAGTTTACTCGGCATTTGGAAGGTGAACAAAAAAAAATTTTTTATTCACCTTCCAAATGCCGAGTAAACTACTACATAAATGTTTCCTGCAATTAAAAAAAAAAAAAAAATTTTTAAATAGTATAGATAATATGATCCTTTGCTTGCTTGCTTGATTTCAATTAATTTTAAAGGACAAATTTGATATTTGGTTTGAATTGATTTTTTTAATTTTTTATTTGTATTATTAGTAATATTGTTTAATATATGGACGATCCCATTTGTTTTATTTAACTATGAGAAAATATTAGATAAAACAAGCAAACAAAAGATAAACCTAAAAGGTTCTTATCATTGCAAATAATGATTTAAATCATTATAGCAGATGATACAAACCATCATAGATGATAATTCAAATCACAATAGCTGATGATTCAAATCATTACAGGTGATGGTTCAAATTATCACATCTGAAAATTAAAATCATCATGGCTGATGCTTCAAATCATTATAGCTGATGGTTCAAATCATTATAGCTGGTGATTCATTTAATTACAGCTAATGATTCAAATCATTAAAGCCGATGATTCGGATCATTGTAGCTGATGATTCAAATTATTATAACTCATGCCTCTAATCAGCATAGCTGATAATTCTCGTAAATGTAACTTTTTTTTTGAGGTAATTAAGTAGATTTAATTAGTTAAAAATGATTTAAAATCAATAAAGTATATTAAAGTTTAACAAATAATAAAATAAAATTGAAAGTTTACTTTGAAAGAAAACAGAGAAAATGTCAATATAAAAAATATAAATATAAATATAAAAGAAAGCAGTTTTCTGCTTAACTAGAATTTAATTGTATATTTTGTATATTAATTATTGATATTTACATTAAGTATTATACATTAATATATACAAATAATTGAGCCTATTAGCAAAATATTATTAGCTTGAGAGTGCACTTGGAATGATTGCCGATCTTCAATAAAATCAGTTAGATTCCTTAAAAACAAATGTTTCTTGTTACTAAAATAAGCTGTAAACATCATTTTTCAACGTCATCAGCGAAAGCCCATTACTAATAGTCAGGGCCGTCCCGAGACGGAGGAAGGCGTAGAGGGACCCCCATAAGAAAATTATATTCAAAAATAGTCGGTATATTTGGGTACTAGACTCGGTAAATTTCGTTTGCAAAAGCCGACAAAACCTTTGTTGTCATTTTTTTTTTTTTTTTTAATTTTAATCGGCACAAAAAATTTTCTAGGCCTTCGTCGGCAAAAAACAGAAACATTACTCTTCCTTTAATCATTCTTCGGAACGGTTCTGCTAATTGTATAACTCAATAGACTTGACTAATAGAATTACTCAGGTAATCAATAGTCTACTGAGTCAGAATCTGAGCAGTCTAGACTGCTGTCTAGCATAATCTGAGCAGTCTACTCAGTAGGGTTCTCATTCTCCTCTTTTTTTCCGTAGGAGAGCGCGGCGCTAAACTAATTAAAATTGAAGTTTTCATTGCATTCTCCTACGGAAAAAAGAAAAAAATGGGAACCCTAGCTCAGATCCTCTCCTAAATATTCATATTATTGGTAGAATATTTTAATCAGTAAATCCATTTTAATCAGAACATTTTAATCAGTAAATCCAGGCGCGGATCCAGCATTTTTTGATGCTTGAGATATTGTGACATGAAACAAACTTCAAAAATTTAAATGTTTGTAGTTAAGTCAAATAAGAAAGCTTAGTAAAAAATTGAGATGATTGGAGTCTTGTAATAAAAAAGCCCTAAAATTTTGGCCCCAAACAAGAGAGCAACAAGTTGATAGAATATTTTTTGTACTATTCTAAAATAAATTTATATTCATCGATAAATCCTAAATTTCATAAAATAGTCTCTAAGCGTTAAAAAATTATAACCTTATAAAATTGTAACCCCCTCAAATTGAGGGAGGTTCAAACTTTGTATAGTCACAACTTTTGAACACTAAAAGAATATTGTTTGAATTTGAGAATTTATTGATGAATATAAATTTATTTAAGAATAGTACAAAATAAATTTTACATAATTGTTGCTCTCTTGTTTAAGGTAGTTGTGGCCAAAATTTAGGGCTATTTTGCAAAGCGTCCTTATTTGACATAAATATAAACATACAAAATTTTGGAGTTTGTTCTATGTCAGGAAGTTAACTATCACAAACATCAAAAAATGTTGGATCCGTGCCTGAAATCTGATAGTGTTTGATCTTTTGATCAGAAAAATTAGACTTTTCTGATCAAATGGTCAACCATTACTAGATTCATGAAATTTGATCTTCAATATTTTATGCCAAAATATAATTTAAAATCAGCACAAGAGATCTCAACAGAAACTCAATTTTTTTCTTATTGTTTCTTTATTTCTCTACATTGCTGCTGTTTTAATCTCTTTTCTTTTGCCTCAAATTATTTTATTTTTTCGTTTTTGCAACTTAAACTTTTTCAGATCATTTAACTTGGTTGCATAGCTTTAGGATAAATTGAAACAAAATATTTTTGTTTATCAATTGTTTTTTGACCTATCAATATGAACATTTGGGTATGAAAAAATACTATATTCATTCTCAATGATACTTTTCAATAGATTCGTTTTAACAAATAATGTATAAACGTTCGTTTTAACAAATAATGTATTTCAATTGGTATACCTCAGGGATCCATATTAGGTCCTCTACTCTTTATTGTCTATATTAATGATCTTAATCTTTCTATCAAACATTCAAAAACGTATCATTTTGCTGATGATACTAATCTTCAATTAATAACAAACTCTCTCAAAAAACTTAATAACTATATTATTCAGGATATGGCCAGTCTTGTTCAATGGCTTAAAGCAAATAAAATCTCATTGAATACTAAAAAATCAGAAATAATTATATTTAAGACTCAAAATACTAACTTTTCTAAAAAGACTAAGAAAAATATTCCAAAATACTTGAACTTTCGGTTAAGTGGTCAAAAAATGTACTTGTTTAGTAACATAACTTATCTTGGTGTTGTTTTAGATGAAAAACTTTCATTCAAAACACACATATCCGACCTTGCTCTGAAGTTAGGCCGTTCCAACGGCATGTTGGCAAAAATTCGACATTACGTTAACTTTGAAACATTGCTCTCTATATATCACTCAATTTTTGGTTCACATTTACGATACGCATGTCAAGTTTGGGGACAATCTAAAACCGTATGTCTCTCTATAGTTGTTTCACTTCAAAATAGAGCGGTACGGATAATTCATTTTTGTCCGAGAAATTTTCCTACTGACATCCTGTATCTTACATCCAAAATTCTTCGTTTCTATGACTTAATTCAGTTCTTAAATTGTTCATTTGTCTGGGATCAACAACATGGTGTCATTCCTACTATATTTCACAACTACTTTAATAACAGAACAACATGTGGACATAATCTAAGATCAGTCACCTATAACAACTTAACTCTTCCACTAAAACAGAAAAGTAAACATGGAATTAATTCCATTACATACCAGTGTATCCTTTCTTGGAACTCCCTTCCGAACACCCTAAAATCTGGTCTCATCCATAGGTTCAAGAGTCTGTTCTTAAAGTCACTCCATCATTTCTACCTAAAAGGTTACGCTTAACTTTACTTTTTACTTTTCTTTCTTTCTACCTTTTGACTTATTTTTTATTTTTATTATAGTTTATTATTTTATTATAATTTTATTTTTAATATTTTATTATAAATTATAATTTTTATTATAATTTACTAATTTTATTATAATTCTTGTTAAAGTGTATGTGCATATATAAATGTACATTATATTAATTATGTTATATATATTCAAAAAGTCTGATTTTTTTGGTATAACTAAATAAATTTTTATGCAATTTTACTTTTATTAGTTAATATTATGTTATTTAACTTCCTTTTATAACCTATTTTTTATGTGGTTTTACTTATTACATATTATTATTATTATTGTTATTATTATTTTTTATCTCATTTAGGTCATTGCGCTTTATTAGTGAATCACTATTTGCAATGACCTGTGTTTTTGTAACATCTGTAACACGAAATATATTGATATTGTTTGTTTGTATTAGAATGATTAAGACTTGTATTTGCCATAGTAACAGAATTAATGATTTCATTTGATTAATGAACTATTTCAACTATAGAATATTATGATGCTTCATAACAACAAGTGTTGTTAATTTTCATAAAGCCGAAATAAGTCTGGCGGTTGCAACGAGTGGATGTGCTTTTAACAATATCAATGTTGTTTTTAATAGTAAGAAATAATAATCTAACTGGCATGTAAAAAATCAATTGAATTATTATTTGCTACTATTGAAAACAATTAGTATCCATGGCTTGCTGCTTCCTTTGTTGCTTTGTTTTGCAAAAATGTGATTGTGAGCTAAAAATATTCTATTTCTTTTTTCGTCCATCCATTCTCACAAACATTCTATTTTGAACTAATGATAATTAACGGTAATATTACTAGTTTTTTTCACTGTCATTTTATTTTGAAATAACGGTAACTAACGGTATGTTACAAGTTTTTAAAAGCTTTAAGTAATACTTTTACTTTTTGGTTATGGTATAGTTAAACTAGCAGCATTTACACAACCTATTAGTAACAAGTGACAGTTTCTCCTTTTTTTCAAGTCCATGATGGAAGATGGGTTATACTATATGGTGCAACAATTGTGGGCATTGTAAAGGCTAATAAAAGTCCAAATTTCTAAATAAAAGAAAGCATAAAAAGTGTACCTATCTTATTAAAACTTAAAAGAGGTTAAAAAAAAATGTTTGAAACTTTTAGCACTGACACACATTAAGACAAAACCTTCAGATTTTCTCAGTTTATAATCTTTTGTTTTTGATGAAATAACTGCCACCATTTTTCTCATGAAGCTTCATGTTTAGACTTTGTACTTCTTACTAAGCTAACAAAAAATTGCTTTTTTTTCTCATAAAAGCAGTGTCTTAACTATGGTTTCCTAAAAGCTGTATTGTACTTAAATCTGGTTGTAGCATAATCAACTAACTTTCTCTAAATGATTCTGTAATTCTGTAGAAGCTCCAGGTCTGACTACATATAAAAAATCTTCTCTAAGATGTTTTCTTAGTACTTCTTTTTGAATTTTATAATAAATAGCAGCTGGTCTTTGTGATAACAAACTGCATCAATTGTTTTTTGTATTTCTACTTTTTTGTATTTCTACTATTTCTACTGTATTTGTACTTTTGATCACTAAATACATTAAGTTTTTTTCATGACCTAATTCATTCTAACAGAAATATAAAATAAATATATTATAAAATAATTTAGGATATTGCAGAGAGGGCTGACCCGAAGTGGAAAGGGGTGTAAGGATGGCTCTGATTGCAGAACTTACTAGTGGTAATTAGTATCTTTGGATAATTTTAATTATTAATGCACTGGACATCATTATCTAAAGTGAGCTTAATACATAGGTTTTTATACCTTATTTCTTCAATAGCCTGAGTAATTCAGATAAATTTTTCAGCATATTGCCTTTTACAATAATCCTGTTCTCACTTAAAATTGTTAAAGATACGTATTTGGAATAACTAGTGAATTATATAAATTCCTTTATATACTATCAGCACAAAAAAAAAAATTTAAATAATTAAATAACAAAAATAGCAACATACAAAAATGGGTATAGGTTAGAGTAAAAAACTGCAATACCTAAAAATTGGTAAAATATCTGGCCAATATTTGGGTAATGTGAGTGGGACTATATAAAGCAAAACTAGTGGTATATATTAAACAAAGAGTTTAACTTAAAGTTTTAAAAGTAAATATAAAACTTTGAAAAAGAAAAAAAATATTCCTAAATAACAACCTAAGGAAGAGAAACATTTCATTAAACATATTTTCAAAGTAAAATTCTTTCATGTAATTTCAAAAAATTAAAACTTTTCTTTTTTGAAAGGAAAAATTCATATTCCGACCAATCTATTTAGAATATTTTAGAAAAAACTCTTCAAAAAGCTGCTCTTAATAAGGCTGGACCACTAAAAGGTCATTTTGACCTAATTATTTAATGAATTATTTATGTATATTTAAGAAATTTACTGCTTATATACTGTGATTGCTTCTATCAATAAAGAAAATTGAGCATGCATATGGCTTTTGTTTTTTTGCATTAATTTATTAATATGAATATAAAGTATTTTAGTGAAAAAAAAAATACTTTTTTTGATTTTAACATAACTTGTTTTAAATCAAATTAATATGTACTTTTGACTAGATGTGGCAACACATCTTTGTAAAGCAGATTACTCAAATTTCTTGATGCATTTCTCACAAATGGGCGGATCAGTTAGAGGGTGGAAAAGGGGTAGTATAATAAACAAGTAAAATTAATTCTTGTTGTGTGAAGTCTTTTAAAGTATGTATGTTTTTACATTTTTGAAATAAATTTTTATTAAATATTTTTACAAGAAACTTTGTGTGGACCTTTCATATTGGGCATGTAACCCTGTCATAGTAAAATTTATAAAGGGGGCAACATTGTTTTTAACAAAAATACTAAAGTTAGGCTTTAAATATTTCACTATGCAAACAATTTTTTAAAGCATTTATACAGTTAATTAATTTAATATATATATTATTGCATCTAATTTTTAATTTACAATTACAAAAATTTCTAGAAATACCTATAAATAGTTTTTTGTTTATTATTGTAATATGTTTTTAATATATATGCATCCTAAAGAAACTGCAACACAGAAATTAGCCAGGTTTTTAAGGTTCAATCTGAGTTTTTGAAATTCTTTATAAAAAAAACTTTATTTAAAAGTTATTATTTCTGAATGCTCCTAATTAATAAGCTAATACATTTGTATTATTACTATTTTGTCTTACATATGTTAATAAATAAGATTTGCATCTTTAGATTCGTGAAAAATATCGTAATTTGATGAAAAGTTATGTTTCACTTCTTGAGCCAGAGGAAAATGCTGATAAAGTTATTGAAGACATTATTTTTTTTGAGACTGAACTTGCAAAGGTAAAGTTTACACTTTTTCATAAGCCCATTGATTAAGAACAACTTTTATATACATATATATAATATATACATGTATATATGCATATATATATATATATATATATATATATATATATATATATATATATATATATATATATATATATATATATATATATATATATGTATATATATATATATATATATATATATATATATATACATATACATATATATATATATATATATATATATATATATATATATATATATATATATATATATATATATATATATATATATATATATATATATATATATATATATATATATATATATATATATATATATATATATATATATATATATGTATATATACTGTCAGGTGTGGTAATATGGCCACATTTTGACCGCTTTTTTTTTCAAAAATTTGCTAAATGCAAGATAACCATATGTGCAAATCGGCCATGTAGCTTTAAAAAATTAATCACAACTTATTAATGAAAATCATTTTAAAAAAATCCAAAATTGGGGTTGGCCATTTAACAAAAAAACATAATTAATACAACAAAACATTGCAAAAAATGTTCAAAAAATTAATGAAAGTTGCAAATCACAAAACTAGAAAAAATTACAAATATAATTTGTAATTTTTTGCATCTTCTATGAGTAATTCAAGAGTTACTTATAGAGGATTATATGTGAATATTAACAATGTGGCTTTAAAACTTTAATTAAAATTTGTTAATGAAAATCACAAAAGAAACTAATTTAAACAAAACATACCATATAGATCTTACCATATAGATAATTAAAAGAGTTGATCTGGAGACTTTGTTGTTTTCAGAGATTCTTTTAAGTGGATTACCAGCATCAATTGCATTGATAGCCTTTTCCACTTGCTCAATGGAGTAGTTACTGTTAAATTGTTAGTTAGTGTTAAGAGTAGTTACTAGTTATATTTATTATATTTATATTTATTATATTTTATAGTTACTGTTAAGAGTAGTTACTAGTTACTGTGTAACCTTTTTTTGGTTTGTATGTGTATTGCATATTGTAACTGATTTAAAAAAAAAATTTGACAATTTTATCAACCAAATCAATAAGTGGCCATATTTACCTTACAGTAAATGCTTTGAGCTTTAAAATGCAGTTACTTAAGTAGCTTATAGAGGTCTGGTCAGACTTCTGTCCAAATTGACCCTCAAGTATATGATTGTCAATAGTTAGTGTTTTTAAAATCTAAAAAGACATAAAAAATGACATGCGAAAAAGATTCAACAACAAGAGTATTATTATTTTAATTTTTTTATAACAGATATTAAAATGTTAGGTTAACATTTGGCTATAAAAAAGTTGAGTGGGACATTGCATCTTTTGAGCCCTGTATATACATTATATATATATACACATATACACAATATACATACGCATGATTTATATATATATATATATATATATATATATATATATATATATATATATATATATATTATATATATATATATATATATATAATGTATTTATATGTTATTTATATATTTATATGTGTGTGTATATATATATATATATATATGTATATATATATATATATATATATATATATATATATATATATATATATATATATATATATATATATATATATATATATATATATATACCTATATAACCAATATATATACATGATATATACACTATTATATACATGATTTAAATATATATAATACATATATATATATATATTAAGATGACCAACATCCTTCTATTTTTGTAGGAGAGGGCCATAAAAATCTAAATTTTAATTAGTTTTGACACTGTGCTCTCTTTCTTATAAAAATAAAACATTGATCAGCATTGAACATTGATCATATATGTATATATATATATATATATATATATATATATATATATATATATATATATATATATATATATATATATATATATATATATATATATATATATATATACATACATACATACATATATGATCAATGAAAAGATTTCTGCCCTATCTCAAACCTGCAGTCAATGTAGTGACACTTTTCATTTACTGAAGATCCCAGCAGCAAGTTTTTTAAATGTGACATCAGAGATGTTATCTAAGCGCACATTGTTATCAATAACTATATTATTGATAACTATGAATGTTATAAACATCAATAACGTTATTTTGTTTCAATTTATCATTAACAAGTGTCTTTGAAGTACATTTTTATCCTTCAAATCTTACCTCTTGTAAAGTTCATTAAACCTAGTTGTTCTTTGTGAGATTAATTTAAAATTCAATTAAATGGCTTGGCTCTAGTACCACTGAGTCTACTGGAAATAAAGCTCAAAATATTTCTCAACTATTTATTCAGATATTAAATCTCATTTTGCCAGACAACTCTAATGACCTTTTTTCACTCCTTAATTTGTATCTTGTCATTATGCCTAGTTTGTGCTCAGTTTTTTTCAGATTGTTCAAACCTGTTATGATTCTTCTACATCAGTTTCATCATATCATCACACATCTAAATGTTACTTTAAGAAGTTTCCTTTGTGATTTTCTTCATGATTAGTCTTGTGCTGATGTCTCTTAGTTCTTCACTAGAAATTATGCCTTCTAAATAATCACCTTGTTTTAACAGGTCTAAAAGCTTTTTTTCCATCTTGATATTTTCAAGTCAAGTTTTACTATACCTTATGTTAATCTACTTGCCCAGCTGTTTTCATCTTTATGAATTGATCAGTTTTTTTTAGAATTTTTTTTATGGCAAGAAATTGATGCAGTATTTTATATCAGAAGTAAGACGTTTTCTGGACTTTTAAAAAATCGTATCATAAACTAAAGCAATAAAATTCACTTATATGTGATTGAGGTCATGGGGTATCAGAAGTGTAAAACATCTCCAAAAATCTGAAAAAATTGAGAGTGGGATCAGTTCAAATGGAAATTCGTTTCATATGACAGCACAGCTTTATAAGGCTGGTAAGTCTGTTGATGGACAATTTATGAAAAGATATGAAATTACTGGATCCACAAAGACTCAAAAGCAAATAGGAAGAACTTCCAAAACAATATAATTTCAGGATAAAAAGATCACAATACTAAGCTAAAAATATCTTTGACAGCTGACTTAGTTGAGAAACAATGCTATTGATCATTTATAAAACCATGTTGACCATCAAATATATTATTTTTTTTAAAATTTTATTTAGGTGCCCCAAGAGAGCACCGTGGATGAGGATTAAGTTGGAAGTTCATGCCTCCTTCCTAACCGATGTTGCAAAACTTGCCCAGAGATGCGGTTTGAACCAGGGATCCTGTTAAGGCAAGTGCGCTACCACTGCACCACGATTGCTCATCAAGATTTGACATCAGGCTTACAAATTATGCTAATTTATTCAGAAAAATTGAAGAAATATTGCACTTAATTCCCATTGATGTTTGCAATTATTTAGTTGACTTTATGCCTCATAGGTGATAAGATGTTCTTGAAAAATATTCCTAAAAAATAGTAATGTAATTTTGTCTTACCAATAAAATATGATCAAATATTGTTGAAAAATTCCTACTTTTTTTATATACTTTATACCACTTTGTCCTCATTTTGATGAGTTTAATTATTTGAACTCATCAAAGTTATTATTTTTTTGATCAAATAGAATATGTTGATTAAATAATCAATATTTGTTTAAAACCTATTATTTTGCATAAAAATCCTTAAATTGGTATATAATATATTGGCTTTATTGAAGTATGTTAATATATAAATTATACAAGTATATTGATAAAGGTTAGTTTTTTTCAACCTGTTTGCAAATTTTTGGGTGCTACTGTGTGTGTGTTTGTGTGTGTGTGCATATGGAGAACAAGCAAGGAAAACAAGCAAAGAGTACCACAAGAAAGAAGTACCACAACATTGACTGAGGATTTTGGTTTAGACAGGCAATCAATTTAAAAGTCTTTAAAAAACTTTTTCCAGTTTTCTTTAATAATTAATAAAAAAAATGTTGACAATAAGGATCAATTCAACAAATATAAATTAATTAACATATTATGCATTTATATATAAATTCTAAAATGTTATTTACATTATATAATCTTTACTTCATTATAGCTCTTTGTTTACATTTCATAATAAGGCATCACTTTTAAAAGTATTTTTATTATATAAGTTAAGTTATATAAGTTTGATTTTGTAATGTATTTACAGATTGCAATGGATGCTTCATTTATTAGAAACGTCATGCAGCAATACAACTTGACAAGTGTCAAAAGGTTTAATGATTATGTTGGGTCACAGGTATTATAAAAAGTTTGTTAAACAAATAAAAAAATTTTTTAATTATTTAACAGGATAGGAAATTATCTTGGCAGTTGGGTTGAAAATTTTGGGTTGGAAAAAGATTTCTTGATTTATATTATTTCTGTAGTTGTAGGATCTAGCACTCAACCCCAGGATATGATTTTTTTCAGCCAAAAATTAAAAATAAATTACATCTCTCTGTATATATTATATTAAGTTAAACAGTTTTAAGTTTAATTTTTTTATTATATATATTTCTGCTGTTCGATTGTAATCAAATTTAAAGTTTTTTAATTTAAAATTTTGTTTTCAAATATTGTTGAAACAAAAATATGTAATAACATTCTTAACAATAACATTCTTAACAATAACATTCTTAACATTAACATTCTTAAAATTTGCTTTAAAATGTTGATAAAGTTATTTCCAACATAAATTTTTTAAATAAATCTTTGCTTAAATAACACTCCTATGGCATACAGTCTTTCAATTCACTTCTTTATATTACACTCTGAATAATTTATTAAGTGCTTAGCTGAGTCTTGTTTTCTTGCTTGCTGGAAAATGCTGAGGTTATCTTAATTCCAATTCTCTAGGGATTGGAGATACTCCTCTAACCTTCTTCTTATATATTATTATTAACTCCTCTAACTATTGACCAGCCTTCTTATTATTATAAGCTTTGGGATGGGGCATAAGTCTTTAAATCTTAAATAACAAATTTCTAACATTTTATCTTGAGCCTAACAACTTGCTCTCAATTTAGATTTTGATCCTGTTGTTTCCTTTTTCTCTGCTGACTTGTTGACTATTGTAACTGAAAAGTTCTATTCAGCAACTTGCTCTCTGTTGACTATTGTAACAAAAAAAGTTCTATTCTGCATTTAATGAAAATAGTGAGGCAAGGAACATATTATAGAACATGCAACTGATTTGAATTTTATCTTCTTTTTTTTTGTGACAGTTTCAGGCTTGCAATAGCTGGTGAATTTTCACCCAAATAAAACTAAATTGTAAATAATTATTGCAATACTGTTGTTTACACATCCTAACTGAGTCTTTACTTTATGTCTTCTAAGATTATCATACCCTACCGTATTTGCCTAGGTTGAGCCTCTGCCCCATTGTTTTAAGGTTGCATCTCTCTTTTTTACAAATATATAAACTGTAAATAATTGTTATACTGTTTGTATTTCTATATTGATGAGTGGTAACATAACCAGAGGGAGTCACTGCTGTGAGCAGCAAGGTTCTAAGTCCTACACTTTAGATCTTTTTGGATTATCATTCATACTGACCTTTCACAAAAACCATATATATAATCCATTGCAATCGATCTGCTAAGGTTGCCTCTTATTACTGTGGTTGCTATTTTTTTTACTTCTGATTCTATTCTCTACTTATATAAATTTCTTGTTTGTCGTTGTATAAAATACTGTTATCATATTAGCACTGATTCTTTTAATGCCCTGTCTTTTTTTTGTGTGGTCAAAAAATACATTGTAAATGTAGTTAGCCTTGCCCAGTTGAAGATTTTCCAGACATTTGAAAAATCTTCAACTGTGTTGTAACAATAAATTGTCTAACATTCCATCTCTCATTCAAGAGGCTGATCTTATTACCTTTCCCAAGGGTAAGGTAGAACTATTTGCAAAGAACTTTTCTAATTTAACTCTCTAATCTTATGGCCATTCTCTGCATTCCATTACAATTAAACAGGTTAACCCATTGTTAGACATTCAAATCACTCCAGCTTCCATTGCATAAGTAATCTTGATTAAACTCTTCTATGGCTCGTGGTCAAGACAACATTCCTGTTATATTCTTACAAAATTGTTCTCCAGAACTCTCTTCAATTCTCTCAAAACTATTTAATAAATGCTTTACTGAGTCTTGTTTTCCTGTCTGCTGTAAAAGGGCATTTATTGTTCCAGTTTTGGAAAACTCTGGTGAATATTTTGATCCCTTAAATTATTGTCCAATAAGTCTTCTTTCTGTTATTAGTCTTTGAGTCTTTGATCAATAAATTTCTTACATCCCATCTTGAGTCAAATAACTTACTGTCAGAGAATCAATTCAGTTTTTGATTCTCTTGCTCTACAACTGACTTACTAACTGCTGTGACTGAAAGATTTTATCTGGCATTAGATAGAGACAGAGAGGCTAGGGCTATCTTGACATATCTTAGGCTTTTAATAAAGTTTGGCATGCAGGTCTTCTCTATTAGCTTGTTTAATATGGGGTATCTGAAAATAATTTTGAGATTAAAGTAATCCTCGAAGGCCAATACTCTTTTTTATTTTCAATAACTTCTGGGGTACCTCAAGGTTCTATCCTTGGTCTTGTTTTGTTTCTTATCTAAATTAATGATCTTCCTGACAACTTGATAACTCAACTTTATACTAGTCTTGACAAAAAGTCTTCTATTTTCGATCACTTAGAACAGGCAGCTGATCTTGAATCTAATCTCACTTATGTATTAGATTGGAGCTCACAGTGGCTTGTAAATTTTAACTACAACAAAACACAGTTATTTACTGCTAACAACTATAGCAGTACTATTGACATTCCCATATTAATGAATGACAACTCTCTCACTTAGTTCTTTTCTTTACATCTTCTTGGATTTTTGTTCACTACTGACCTTTTATGGAAACCATATATACAATTGGTTGCTAAATTAGCATCTACTAAGGTTGCTACTTTTTATCGTCATTTTCTCTCTCTTGATTCCATTCTTTACCTCTTCACAAATCCCTCATTCTTCCCTGTATGGAATACTGTTGTCATATTTGGGCTTGTTCTTCTAATAATGCTCTATCTCTTATAGACAAAGTTCGAAAACACATTGTAAATGTAGTTGGATCCACTCTACTGCTAAGCTTAAGCCTCTCTTCCATTGTCATAAAGTTGCATTTCTATTTTTTTTCTACAAATGCTACCATGGTGGCTGCTCAAAGGAGCTATCATTTCTAGTTCCATCAACTAAAATTCATTCTTCCTTGATTTGTCATTCAGCAACTTTCATTCTTTAACTGTATCTGTCCTTGCATATTCTAAAATCTTTTATTGGTTTAGTTTTTTATCTGCAATTCAACGAACTCTCTCCGATCTTCATGTTTTTATGACTTATACAACTTTCAACAAAGTCTTCTGTCAACCGTTTCTTTGCTCTATAACTCTATTCGTTTTTATCTAGTAATTCCTTACTTAATAGTGGTTGCTTTGCTGGGAGTGAATCAGATTTAAAAAAAAATTGTTTAATATTTAGTTTGTTTGGTTGCGATTAAACAAAAATGTTAAATACTTCAATTTTGTTGCAATTAAGTAAAAATGTTTAATATTTAGATTGATTGGTTGTGATGTAACAAAAAATTTTAATGTTTAGATTGATTGGTTGCGTTTAACCAATGGATACTTTAGGTATTTAAACATTGAAATAAAAGATTACACACTTATTGGTATTAGATCATTAGACTATTTTAAATCACTTAATGAGTTGATAGCAGTAACTGATAAACGGTATTTTAATTTCTTTTTTAATCATTATTCTTTTTTATTAATTATTATTGAATATTATTCTTATTAAGTATTATTCTTACTTATGTAAAAAATACTTTAATATTTATAGGATTGTAAAAGACTACATTATCTGGATAACAGTTTGGAAGTATGGCTCTTATGCCTCTAGTCTTTTTCAAGAAGCTGAGTTTACCTTTATTAGCTCAGTGCTTGGTTTAAAGGAAAAACCAGATAGGTGGAAAAAGTGCATTGCTGATATTGAACAAACAATGGAGTTCGGGTTGGCTTCGTTGTATGTAGAAAAAGCTCTGACAGACTCTGATAAAATATTGGTAAATTGTTGAAGATAAATTTTGTAAACTTTTGAAAATAAATTTTTGGTAGAATAAAGCAATGATGTAAAAAGTATAGAAAAAAAGTGAAAAAGTTATTATAACTTTATAATTTTAATTTTTTTTTTTTCATTTTATTTAAAGTGGATTTTTTTTGCAATTACTAACGCTTTTATTTATTATTTATTTTTTTCATTATTAGGCTGCATATATATATATATATATATATATATATATATATATATATATATATATATATATATATATATATATATTGTTTACAGAGATTTTATATCTTCTAGGACACATTTTATTGTTACTAAGCTACAGAGATTTTATCGTTTTTAGGCAACAGAGATTTTATTGAATATCACCGATGAGTTCAAAAAAAATTTAATTAATGTTCTTTGGATGGATGATTCTACTAAAGCAAAAGCCTTTGAAAAGGTTCAAAATTTTTTTTTTTTAAATTAACAAATATTTTCTTTGTCTCTTCTATTAACTTGATTTTTTTTTAATTTAGTTTTAAATGCATTTAATTTTATAAAGTATAATAACATTTTCATCTTGAATATGTGATATACAAAATATGTTCTACTGCAATTTGAAACATACTTATATTCATTTTTTTTTTTTTTGTTAATAAAATTTTCATTTTGTATATATGTGTGTGTGTGTATATATATATATATATATATATATATATATATATATATATATATATATATATATATATATATATATATATATATATATATATATATATATATATATATATATATATATATATATATATATATATATATCAAGTTTTTCTTAATCTGTTAATGAATCAAAACCCTGGACCATTTGAGAAACAAAATTAGAATTTTGATTTAAATTGAATATTAAAAAAGAAGTATAAAAGGTAAGTGGGATATGTCTAACACAGCCAAACATGTAATGGCATGTTTGATTGGACACATAAACTCCTCGAATTACATCAGATCATCAATAACATGTTGCAAGAGAATCACTTAAAATCAACAAGGCTTTGATGTATCACAAATAGAAAGTGTTTAAGTTTTTAGAAAAATTGGTTGTCTAAAGGTTGTCATATTAAAAATAAAGCAGCTTAAAGTTTTGTTGCACTTCTTGCTTACTTAAATTTACAAAAAACACATTGTAATAAATTTTGAAGATTTTTATTAATTTTCTTTTAAACTCATAAAGTTTAACAAAGAAAAAAGTTCAACTCAAACTAAAGAAATTTTTTTTTAATTTAAAATTTTAAAGTAAGATGTTTTTGTTTTTATGAATATTTTTTGAATACTTATGATTTTATTCATCTATGAAAAGTGAAAATTTTATTTGACTTATTTTTTTTAAATAGTTTTTGTATTATAATTACTAATTAAATCGTGAAATCAGGTTCAAATCCTTTGACCATTCTTTTATGTGCTTTCGCCTAGCACCTCTTCACAATATCACCTTTCTCTTTGTTCTTTATCGTTCTCCATCTTCCCATGATTACACTCTTTTAGATGTTATCTCTGATCAAATTGACCATGCCCTCTCTCTTTACACCTCTGCCAATATTGTTGTTGTTGGTGATTTTAATGCCCATCACACTGAATGGCTTGGCTCTAACACCACTGATCCTGCTGGCACTAAAGCCTTTAACTTCTGCGTTTCTCAATCTCTTACTCAGATAGTTAACTTTGTGACTCGTTTTCCTGACAACCCTAATCATTTACCTTCACTCCTTGACTTATGTCTTGTCTCTGACCCTAGCTTATGTTCAGTTTCTCCCTTTTCTCCCTTAGGTGGTTCTGACCATGCAATGATCTCTATAAATCTTTCTTCTCGTACTTCTTTTTTGGGCTCACCTTATCATCACACCACCTACTACTACCCTAAAGCTGACTGAGATTCCTTTCGTGATTTTCTTCGTGATGGTCCTTGGGCTGATATTTTTTCTCTCTCAGCTGACAAATGCGCCTCCTACGTAACCTCCTGGATTCAGGCTGGAATGGAAGCTTTTATTCCTTCTCGTCGGTTTCAAGTCAAGCCTTATTCTACTCCATGGTTTTCTCCTTCTTGTGCGGCTGCTATATCCAATCGTAATCATTTTTTTCACCTTTTTCAAAAGAACAATTCTCTTGAGAACAAACGGCTATTTATTATTGCAAGAAATCGATGTAATAAGGTGCTTTCTGATGCTAAACTCCATTATTCTCAGTTCACTAAATCTCGCATCTTATCGCAGAAGTTAGGCTCTAAAGACTTTTGGAAAATCTTCAACAGCATTGTTAACAAGGGTAGATCTAACATTCCATCTCTCATTCATGGGACTGATCTTATTACCTCTCCCAAGGATAAGGCAAAACTATTTGCAAAGAACTTTTCTTCTAATTCCACTCTTGAATCTTATGGACATTCTCTTCCTTCCATTCCAGTCAAACAGGTTGACCCATTGTTAGACATTCAAATCACTCCGGCTTCTGTTGCTAAAGTCATATCTCAATTAAACTCGTCTACAGCTTGTGGTCCAGACAACATTCCTGTCACAGTCTTGCAGAATTGTTCTCCAGAACTTTCTTCAATTCTCTCTAAATTATTTAACAAGTGTTTGACTGAGTCTTGTTTTCCTGCTTGTTGGAAAATGGCATCTGTGGTTCCAATATTCAAAAAATCTGGAGAAAATTCTGACCCCTCCAGTTATCGTCCGATCAGTCTTCTTTCTGTTATTAGCAAGGTCTTTGAGTCTTTGATCAACAAATTCCTCACATCTCATCTTGAGTCAAATAAACTGCTGTCAGACAATCAATATGGTTTTCGATCCTCTTGCTCTACAGCCAACTTGCTAACTGCTGTAACTGAAAGATTTTATTGTGCATTAGATGGAGGCGGTGAGGCTAGGGCTATTGCTCTCGACATATCTAAAGCTTTCGACAAAGTTTGGCATGCTGGTCTTCTCCATAAGCTTGCTTCATATGGTGTTTCTGGGAAAGTTTTTGAGATAATCAAATCATTTCTTTCTGACCGGTTTATTAAAGTCATCCTTGAAGGCCAACACTCTTCTTTATTTCCAGTAACTTCTGGGGTTCCCCAAGGTTCCATCCTGGGCCCTGTTTTGTTTCTTATCTACATAAACGATCTTCCTGACAACCTTTCATCTAAAGTAGCTCTTTTTGCTGATGACTCAACTTTATACTCCTGTCTTGACAATAAGTCTTCTCTTTTCGATTGCCTAGAACAAGCAGCTGATCTTGAATCTGATCTCACTTCAGTAATAGATTGGGGTTTACAGTGGCTTGTGAATTTCAACTCTAAAAAAACCCAATTGCTTACTGCAAACAACTACCGTAATATGGTCAACATTCCTATATTAATGAATGGCAATCCTCTTACTGAGTCGTCCTCTTTACGTCTTCTTGGATTATCGCTTACTACTGACCTTTCATGGAAACCTTATATACAATCGATTGCTAAATTAGCTTCTGCTAAGGTTGCTTCTCTTTATCGTGCTCGCCATTTCCTTACTTCTGATTCCATTCTCTACCTCTACAAATCTCTTATTCGTCCCTGTATGGAATACTGTTGTCATATTTGGGCTGGTTCTTCTAACGATGCACTCTCTCTTCTTGACAAGGTCCAAAAACGCATTGTAAATGTTGTTGGACCTGGACTATCTGCTAAGCTTGAACCTCTTTCCCATCGTCGTAAAGTTGCATCTCTTTCTCTTTTCTACAGATACTATCATGGTCACTGCTCAAAGGAGTTATCATCTCTAGTTCCATCAACTAAAATTCATTCTCGTTTTACTCGTCATTCAGCTAAGTCTCATTCGTTTTCTGTATCTGTCCCTGCATGCTCTAAAAACTTTTATTCATCTAGTTTTTTTCCCCGCACTTCAATCCTTTGGAACTCTCTCCCATCTTCATGTTTTCCTGACTCATACAACCTTCAACTTTTCAAGTCTTCTGTCAACCGTTTCCTTGCTCTATAACTCTGTTCTTTTTTTTTCCTAGTAACTCCCAACTTAATAGTGGTTGCTTGCAGCCTTGTTGGGAGTGAATGCAAATAAAAAAAAAAAAAAAAAATTATTTTAATAGTTATGCTAATGATAGTAACTTTAATTTTTTTAGGTTAATTCTATTCAATATAACATTGGGTATCCAGATTATGTAAAAAATGATACATATCTAAACATATTGTATGACAAGGTATTTAAATTGTTATATTAAAAACATGTTTTATTATTAATTTTAATTATAATATGGTTTACAAACATTTTTCGGGGTTTCTAAATTTAATTTATTTTTCAAATTGATTTATAGTTTGGAGAAAGATTTTTTTTTTTATAAATAATTGCTTATGTAAAAATTAATCAAAAGTCAATAAGTAATTTTTTTTAAAGAAAAACAATATTTGATTAAAAAAAGCTATTTCATTTTGCCCTTATATTCAGGATAAATGAAATATGTAAGTAATTAAAATCTAAAACCTAAATCAAAAAGACAAACAATGATAATAATTAAAAAAGCAAAAATTTTGCTTTTGTGATGATGCTGAATTATTGAGAGGTTCTGGAGGTTGAGCTAAATTGTCTTATGGGTGGTACTTTTATACAAAAGTTAGTTTTAAGAAAGTTCTGAAAGGAACAGGCTGCTGTGCTGTTTCTTAGCACAGCAGCCTTGAAACAGGCCTATGAGAAACAGTGCAGTACTCTCAATTTGATTTACTACTAGGGATATGGTAGGACTCACTTCTTTCTTGCAAAGTGAACAGTCTACTACTACACCAATAGAAATCTAAAGATGAAAGATAAATTTGAATTTATCTTAAAAAAAGCAAGTAGGTCTCCTGAGTTTTACAAAAAAAATATTCAATTAATAAAAAGTTGCACTGAAGAACACAAATATTTTTAGTGGATAGATTATTACAGTTTGGTTTAAATAAAGGTTTTTTTTATAACTATTAGTAATAAAAAAATTTATTAACTTTATAAATGAAGAAGGGGTGTGAGGCTCAACAACAGATATTTTGCACTAAAATTTGCCTAAATAGATACAGTAGCTGTAAGCAATTAAAATCTGCCTAGGGTTAGTATTTTATTAAGATACTATCTCTAGCCTTCACTCAACAGAAGCCCTAAGACAAGGGTAACTCATAGTTAATATTTCCTATCCTTTCCCAAGAAAAACAAAGCTGCAAAGCTGTACATGAGGTAGATTCTTCTGGATTATATCTTCTCAATAGGCATGATGGTCCTTAACCTGACCTGATGGTCCTTAACCTGACCTGAGCTAATTTTGTTATCTGTTTAGCTCTTTATTCTCTGTTATATAATTTTTTCTATAAATTATTTTCAGGTTTTGCAACTTTTGGATTCTAAATTAAGATATTCATTCATTATAAGCTTTTCATTCGTTATCAGTAGATCATTTTACCAAATAAAAAAATTGATTGGTTTTCTATGTTGTTCAACAATATGCAAAAAAAAATTGACTTTGTTTTTAATTTTGGATACACTCACACTTACTTTAGCTAATAAGGTTCTTCTTTTGTGACAGTTTTTGTTTCATATTGTATAACATTTTTTGCAGTTTAATAAATTTGGAAGTTTTTAGTTTTATGGATTTAGCTAGAATCATTTTTATCTTAATATTTATAAGTCCTAAAAAATCTAAAAATTATTTGTAAGTCCTAATAAATAAAATAAATCTAAATTTCTATGCCCATCCATCTGTTAAAAATGTTTTTTTGCCATCTATGTTCTGGTGAAGTCATTTTTTTTCTTATTATAAGTTTTGTAATTCTTATTATAAGTTTTTTCTTATTATAAGTTATTATAAGTTGCAACAACTAGTTGTTACAATTAATTGTTATTTTTAATTGCTATCTTCAATTGTTATTTTTAATTGTTATTTTTACTTTATCATTATAGTAAAATATAACCTAAAATTATAGTAAAATATAACCTAATTATAGTAAAATATAACCTAAAAAAAGTAGAAAGCTCTATTTTTTAAAAATTCAATTAACTTAAGGGTTATTTTTTCACATAAATGTATTTTTACTTCTATAATTATAATTTTATAATTATATAGGTCTTCTTAAATTGTTTTGTTTTTGTTTTTAGTTTATTAAAGTTTTATATTAAATTTTCAGGTTAAAGTATCCAAAGATACATATTTTGATAATGTATTAATGATGTTTTCTGAAAAAAGGTTATCAAATTTGGGGATTCTCCTGAAAGTTGTTGATAAAACAGTGTAAGCTGTGTTTTTTTCTTTCATTAAAAAAGTGTTTTTTTCTTTCCATTAGAAATCTTAAGTTTTGTTTTAAAATGTATGATTGCTGTTTCTCAGGTATGATTTGCCTCCCACTCTTGTGGAAGCATACTTTGATCCTAACAAAAACAAAATGGGTAAGATTTTGTTTTTCGAAATATTTTACTTTTATATTTAAATTATTTTTAGTTTCATTGTTTAACTTTTATTTTTTGATTTTCATTTATAGTTTTTTTGGCAGGCATATTGCAAATTCCATTCTATGATAATCTTGGGCCTATGTGAGTTTTTGTTTTACTTAATTTGTGTTATAATTTTGCTTCCACAAAATAATAATAATAATACTTAAAGTAGTCTAAAAAAAATTAAAAGAAATTAAATTGTGAAGTTTAAAAATGTACATGTTTTTATATTATTTTTTAAGGGCTTTAAACTATGGTGCTTTAGGCCTTGTAGTAGGTCATGAAGTTACACATGCATTTGATGATTTAGGTAGAAAGATTTACTATGCTCAATTATCTTTTTTATTCACTTATTTAAAAGCAATTTATTTTGCATACCTGTTAATTTATTTATATTATTTTACTCATAGGCCGTCAGTTTGATAAAAATGGTGAGCGTAAAAACTGGTGGAGTGAGGCAAGTTTAAATGCATTTCATGAAAGATCAGGATGTATGGCCGAGCAATATTCTATGTACTCGATGTATGGAATTAATGTAAGTATTCTACAAAAAATTAGTTAAATTTGTTGATATTAATTAATAATGGCTTATGTCGTTAAAACTGTTATGTATAATTATTTTATCTTAAAACTTCTTGATTATGGGTACAATTTTTTTTTTTCAACATCTTTGCTTCCAACAGGCTGCAAGTTACTGGAAGAGAAAAGATGAAATTTATAAAGCAAAATAACGATTGACACACAACTTAAAAGGTTGCAAATTATATGAATCAGGAAAGCAAAATGAAGGAAGCGAATTCCTAAGAACTGATGTTTGAGTAAAAAAACAAATAGGAGTTTTTGGAGCACTTGGGAATAGTCACAAAAAAAGGATGAGACTTAAGATGTTACCTGATACTTCATAAAAATAAAATTTATGGAGAAGACCACCATCCCAAACTTTATCAAAAGCTTTAGAAATGTTAAGAACAGTAGCCTTAACCTCTCCACCTCTATCTAATGTACAATAAAATCTATCCGTTATTACTGTTAGCAAATCAGCTGTAGAAAGAGAAGACCAAAATCCATATTGATGATCAGGAAATCACTTTAGATACAGAAGCTGGAATAATATGAAGGTCGAGCAATAGATTAACCTGTTTGTCTGCTATATCAGGTAGAATGCAACTAGTGGAATCAAGAGATAATATTGAATAAAAGTTTTTACCAAACAATTCAGCTTTATGTTTAGGTGACAAAATCTAAACCCTACAAGAGGTGAGGTGAGGTGAGGCGACAAAATCTAAACCCTACAAGAGAGAAGAAATAACAGATTTGCCCTTATTATTGATACTGTTAAAGATTCTCCAGAAGTCATGAGAGCATAATTTTTGAGATGAAATACAAGATTTCACGACCTGAAAATAGCAGGCTTAGGCATTAGACAAAACCTTTTTACAATGGATTCTTGCAATAGTAAACAGACGTTTGTTTTCCAGAAAAATGTATTGCTGATATATATGGAAGTAATGGTTTTGATTTGAAATTGCAACAGTACAATGTGAGGTAAACCAAGGAGAAGAGTGAGGCTTGTCTTGAAATTGTCGATAGGAAATAAAAGATTCCATGCCATCTTGAATCCAAGAAGTTATGTAAGAAGCAAATTTGTCAGCAGGAAGGCAAAAGATTTCTACCTAAGGGTCATTATGAAGAAAATCGCGGAAAGAGTTCCAATCAGCTTTTAGGTAGTTGTAAGAGGTACAACGATAGGGGAATTTTGATGATGAAACAGAAGGAGATAATAGTTTTAGAGAGATCAAACTGTGATCAGAAACACCTAAGGGTGAATGTAAAAAAACTGAGCACTGACTAGGATCATAAACTAGACATAAGTCAAGTAGTGAAGGTTAGTAATTCAGATTGTCTGGAAAACAAGTTGGAAAATTGACTATTTTAGTTAGAGATTGAGAAAGGCAAAAGTTTTGGGCTTTAACGCCTGCAGAATTTATGAAACAAGAGCCAAGCCATTTAATGTGATGAGCAATAAAGTCAACAAAAATAATTATATTAGCTGATGGATAAAGAGAGAGGGCTTGGTCACTTTGATCAGAAATAACATCGAAATAAGTGCAGTCTTGACATGAAGAAGAGCAATATAGAACAAAGAAAAAGGCAAAAGTTGTGGGCCTTAATGCCTCACTGACACTAGAGCCAAGCCATTCAGTGTGATGAACGTTGAAGTCACCGACAACAACAATATTGACTGATGGATAAAGAGAGAGGGCTTGGTCAATATGATCAGAAATAACATCAAGAAGAGTGCAGTCTTGAGATGAAGGAGAGCGATATAGAACAAATAGAAAGGTGATAGAGTAAAGTAGTGCTAAACAAAAGCACATAAAATAATATTCTGTGGATTCAAACCTATTTTCTCAACAAATTAGTGAATTCTTACAAATGTAAATGCCAAAGCCAAACATGTGTTTATTGGCGTCTTTACGAATTAAAGGAAGATAACCATCAACACTAAGATCACAAGATGAGACAGCTGAACTCAAATTAGTCTCACAAAGAACAAGTAGGTCAACTTTGCAAGAGGTAAGACTCAATAGAAGAAAAGTTACTTAGAAGACCACAAATATTAGTGAATAATAGGTTTAAAAAACTTTGTGATGACAATGGTTTTTTGTGTTTTATAGTTTTTGGTACTTTACTCATTTTTAATTTTGTTAAAAAAATTGACTCAAAGCATAGATAGTACTCAGTACACTTTTTAATAGCCCAAGCAATTGCCTTATTACTATTAATAAACCCAATCCCATAACAAAGGGCTTTAAATGTGGCCTCGACAATAAACACCAAAATTACAAACAGAGACACCATTCATACGCAACATGGCACTGTTAGTACTCTGATATTTTACAGCTGTTGATGAAAGCCTCTCTGAGAACTACCATTGAGATCAGGAAACCTGACTACCACACGGCCACAGAACCATAAAACTGAGTTTTAAAGCTGTACCCTCATTAGGAGATAATAGAAAGAATTGCCTAGTCATAAAAATAGAGACACAAACAAAACCCATGTATTGAGTCAAGAAGATCCAGCATTCAACATCCTAAACTGGAATCAATGTATTATAAATATATCTGCGCTAGCCTAATAGGTGATAAGGGGGTGCGAGGCTGGTCAACAGATAGAATCTGTTTACCCCTTAATTTAACAGATAGAAACTGTTTACCCTCAATCAAAAATGATTATACTAATCATTTACTCAACCAAAATTTTAACTGAATATTTAATTTTTCAAAATTTAGAATTTAGTCTTAAATCAATAAAATTATAAAAAGATTTTGATGCATGGCTGCTTTAGTTTTAGAAAAAAATAAAAAAATAATAAAATAGTGATTTTGAGCAGTGGTATTGCATGTGCTATTTGGTGTTGTTATCTTCCACACATTTATAAAACTTCAAATCTTTGTAAGTTTACACTGGCTTCAAATAAAGTTTTGAAAAATATTCATGTGTTTTAACACAGATAAATGTCATATAAAGTAAATTGCTCAGCTATATTTAATAAATATGCAAAAATAAAAAGATGCGGATTTATGCAAAGGTATAACTTAGCAACAAGGACTGTAAGTAGAAACTATATCAGTTTGCTGAAACCAGAACTGAAGAACTGAAACTGAATAAAATAAAAACCAAAGAACCTGTTAATCTAGAAATGTGATAGCTTATAACTTTTGACAGGCAAAATATTTGTGGGTCAAATTCAAGATGGTAATAAATTGCTATTCTGCAGTTGCTACAACATTTTTACTGTTTTACTGTTTGCAATATCTTTTTATGACCCAAATTTAAATAGGTTCACTATATAAACATTTGAACTAAATAAAGCAGTTTTCTTAGCAGCAAAATATATATTGCTACAAGTTGCTACAAATAGTTTATAAAATTGGTTCCGCATACTGTAGTATTTTAGTTAGCATATCGGAAACTTGTCGGAAACATATCAGAAAGTTGTTATAATCTTGCAGAATATAATTGATATAATCTTGCAGAATATAATATAACTTTTTATACTATTTTTATGTTGTTGTTTTTTTTTATTCTTTTATCTTTCAATATTGTTTTTATTTTTTCTGATTACTTTTTTTTTAACTTATCTGGTTGTTAAATAATATAGGTAAATGGAAACCTGACCCTGGGCGAAAACATAGCAGATAATGGAGGAATCAAAGTAGCTTTTTTGGTTAGAATACTTTTTTAAAAACTTGCTTTTTGTTCAGTTTTTCATTTAATTTCAACTTTTTATATTTTATCTTTGTTGAATATAGGCTTATAAAAAATGGCAGTCTTTTCATGGGGAAGAAAAACGTCTTCCTGGGATTCCACTAACTATGGAGCAGTTACTTTTTGTTTCACATGCACAAGTAATTTTTTTTTTTTTTATAGATACCTAATTTTTATTTCTACTCTAAAATAACAGATTTCAAACAAGAGAATAGAGTGGGTTCAACTGAGTTTACAATGAGTAGAATAGAGTGGGTTCAACTGAGTTTACAATGAGTAGAATAGAGTGGGTTCAACTGAGTTTACAATGAGTAGAATAGAGTGGGTTCAACTGAGTTTACAATGAGTAAAATAGAGTGGGTTCAACTGAGTTTACAATGAGTAGAATAGAGTGGGTTCAACTGAGTTTACAATGAGTAGAATAGAGTGGGTTCAACTGAGTTTACAATGAGTAGAATAGAGTGGGTTCAACTGAGTTTACAATGAGTAGAATAGAGTGGGTTCAACTGAGTTTACAATGAGTAGAATAGAGTGGGTTCAACTGAGTTTACAATGAGTAGAATAGAGTGGGTTCAACTGAGTTTACAATGAGTAGAATAGAGTGGGTTCAACTGAGTTTACAATGAGTAGAATAGAGTGGGTTCAACTGAGTTTACAATGAGTAGAATAGAGTGGGTTCAACTGAGTTTACAATGAGTAGAATAGAGTGGGTTCAACTGAGTTTACAATGAGTAGAATAGAGTGGGTTCAACTGAGTTTACAATGAGTAGAATAGAGTGGGTTCAACTGAGTTTACAATGAGTAGAGTGAGTTCAACTGAACAATGCAAACACAATAAACAGAAGCAACCTTAGCAGATTTAGAAATCGGTTGTATATATAAAAGGTATAGTAGTGAATAATAATCCAAGACAACATAATAAAGAGGACTTATTGAGAGGGTCGTCATTCATTAATATAGGAATGTCAACAGTATTGCGATATCTATTTACAGTAAATAACTGAGTTTTGTTGAAGTTAAAATTTACAAGCCACTGTAAGCCCCCAATCTGTTATTGAAGTGAGCTCAGATTCAAGATTTTCTAAGCGATTGTTCTAAGCGATTGTTCTAAGCGATTGTTCTAAGCAATCGAAAAGAGAAGACTTTTTGTCAAGACAGGAGTATAAAATTAAGTCATCAGCAAAAAGACCTTAGGTGGAAGGTTGTCAAGAAAATCATTCATGTAAATAAAAAACAAAATAGGACCAAGGATAGAACCTTGAGGTACCCCAGAAATTACTGGAAATGATGATGTGTTCTGGCCTTCAAGGATGACTTTAATAAAGCAGTTAAAAAGGAAAAATTTGATCATTTCAAAAACTTTTCCGGATACACCATATGAAGCAAGCTTATGGAAAGCTTATGGAGAAATGTCAAGAGCAATAGCCCTAGTCTCTCCACCTCTATCTAATGCATGATAAAATCTCAGTCACAGCAGTTAGCAAGTCAGCTGTAGAATGAGAGGAGATTGAGAGATTGAAACTGTATTGTCTGGCAGTAAGTTATTTGACTCAAGGTTGGATGTAAGAAATTTGTTGATCAAAGATTCAAAGCCCTTGCTAATTACAGAAAGAAGACTGATCGGACAATATTTGGAGGGCTTAAAATATTCTCTGCAGTTTATGAAAGTTGGAACCACAAATGCCATTTACCCAGCAGGCAAGAAAACAAGACTCAGTCAAGCACTTGTTAAATAGTTTAGAGTGAATTGAAAAGAGTTCTGGAGAACACTTTTGTAAGACAAATGGCAGGAATGTACCTGTTTAATTGGAATGGAAGGAAGAGAATGGCCATAAGATTCAAGAGTTAAATTAGAATAAAAGTTCAAGTGGAGCAAACAGTTCTGTCCTTAAGAGAGGACGATCTGTCCTATGAATAAGGGATGGAATATTAGACCTACTCTTATTAATGACGCAAGTCTTGGTAAATTTTGCAATAGATAAGATTCAATTGATGGAAAGTTGCTTCGCGGACCACAAATATTTTTAAAAGATATATTAAAACAGTTAGGTGGTGGGGATGATTTTATAGGTTTAATATTTTGGGTTACGTTTGCCATGACTTAAGTTTAAAAAAAAGTTCAATCATTCATAGATAGAGTACTGCCTTTTAAGCAAAGCCTTTGGGCAATTCTGAAGCGTTCTGTCTATGAGGTTACAAAAATCAATCAAATTGCATTTTTAGATTTTTTTAAATGCTTATCAAAAAGCTTAAGTAAATTTTATTTATAAAAATTTTTTTTTGGTTTGTTCTTATTATATAATTAGTCTAATATGTTATTTTATTAATTTGAATGTGTAGGAAGTAAATCCTGTTATATAGGTGAAACTAATTGCTATTGAGAACCGAATGTTAAAATTTAAAATATTCTATTTTTGGTTTTTTTAAGTGGGATCTTTGTTAATAATGCTATGTATGTATGTATGTATGTATGTATGTATGTGTGTATGTATGTATGTATGCATGCATGCATGTGTAAATGTTAGTATGTATGTATATATATATATATATATATATATATATATATATATATATATATATATATATATATATATATATATATATATATATATATATATGCATGCATGCATGTATGCATGCATGCATGTATGTATGTATTGTATGTATGTAGGTATGTATGTATATATGTATGTATGTGTGTATGAACATATGTATGTATGTATATTTATATTTAGAAAATTTTATTAGATTTACATTTTATTATACAAATTTCACGCTAAAATTTCTTTTTTTATCTCAATATATTTCATAAGCTCTATAATTTTAATGTTTTTCATTACTCAGGTTTGGTGTGGTGCTTACAGAGAAGAATACATTAAAAGACATTTAAAAATAGATTATCATTCTCCAGCTAAATACAGGTAACTTCAAAATTATATTTAAAATTTTTATTTTTTTTTTGGCTTTTTTTTTAATGAGGAATAGTAGTTTCGATTTATAAATTGTAACACAAGAGACAAGCTCCACAAAAGATGAATGCCACCAAAGTCAGTTCTACAAGATGTGTTTTCAACAACATGTGTGTTCCACTAGATGTAAATTCCACAAGTTGAGAGTTTTACAAGATGTGAATTTCACAAGATGTGAGTTCCACAAGATGTGAGCTCCACAAGTTGTGAGTTTTACATGATGTGAGATTCACAAGATGTGAATTCCACAAGATGTAAGTTCTACAAGATATGAGTTCCACATTAGGTGATTTCCACAATGCATGAGTTCCACTAAAGATGAGTTCCGTAAAATGTGAATCCCACAAGATGTGAGTTCCACGAGAATTTCACAGGTTGTGAATTAAGAAAGATATTTAAACTATTCTAAGGTTTAAAATGTTCAGTTTTAATTTAAAATTCAATTTTGCAATTGTAAATACATTCTTTCTGTCAATAACTGGCAGAAACATTGTATTTACAATTATCGTATTAAAGAAAATTTTATTTTTATTTTAGAGTAATAGGTCCACTTGCCAATCTTGAAGAATTTTCACGCGCATTTAATTGCACATCCGGTTCGACCATGAATCCAATAAAAAAGTGCAGAGTATGGTAGCTTATTTACTAACTGCTAGTTTTCAATAAATTTTCAATAATCAAAGATACTACGATGCATTGTATTATATATATATATTTATTTATATTATTAATATAACTTATATTAAAATTATTTAATAATATTTTATTCTAATATACAGAGATTTGTTTTGTGTGTAGATATATACGTATTTTCTAAATCTTTTTTTTATATATATATATATAATTATTGCGTTTTGCAATTTTTTTATGTATTTATTTTACGTCTTTAGTAACGACTGACCTTATTAGGTTTTTGAACTTTTTTATTGTCTGTAACATAGTTTTAAAATTAGTCATGCATCATTAGTCATGTAATTTATTGAACTTTGAGCGAAAAGCATAATAGTTTAAAAGCGTTTTTGCACTTAAAAACTATTTCATGATTTTTAACAAAAACAGACAAAAAATATTTAAGTTTTGTAAATGATTTTTTTTTTTTTAACAAAGTTTTCGAAACGTTATGGGGTTATATATTTTAAATATGTTATCGAGAATCTAACATTTATATCGCTTAGGACTAATTCGGGTTTTTTGTTTTTTTTTTGTTTTTATTTTTTAAATAAGAATTTCAAATTGATAGTTTTTCAATATTTTTTAGTTTATAGTTTTTTAATTTTATCCTAAAATAGCTCAATAATAAATAAAGAAATCAAAAGTTTGATCGGTGCGTAATATATACGAAATAAAAAATATCATCAAAAAACTAATTAGTGTAGATTAGGGTAATATGAGTACCTTAAGTGAAAATTGGAATTCTTTTTAAAATAACCATGTTGGATCCAAAAATTTTGCGATTAAACAATTTTTAGGGATCCCTACACATGATCCACGGTGATATTGAGCGTTTTGAATTAGCTCAAAAAAAAAAAAAAACATTAATTAAGCAAAAAAATGCCAACCTGACAATTAGAAGTAATTATTAAAATATAATGATTTGACATTAACAAAACTTATTAAAAGATCAAATTTTAAGCCACTTTTGAAACAATACTATTATGTTTTCCGCAATTTTCAATTTTATTAACTCAAACCTTTGAACGATAAAAACTCAAATTTTTTAAATTTAAATTACAGAAAAATATATACTATTGTATTACTTTTTTTTCTTTTATGTTTTGTTTTTATTCCAAAAGCAATTAAAGCCACTGTTATTTTAGGACTTTACACAGGTAATTTCAATGAAAAATATTAAGTAATAAAATTTAAATAAAATCAAAATTAAATATTTCTATGCATTGTTTTTAAAACAAAAATTGATTAGATCTTTAGCTAACATATTTTTCTTTATGAAAAAATGAATTTGATTGTTTTAGCACCAAAATTTCGCGCCACAGGTTTATTAATTTAACAGCGTTTTAATTAGATTAACTTTTAACAATATTTAAAAAAATTAGTCCGACTAGATTTTTTAAATACTTTTAAAAGTTATTCTTCAGATTAGATTTGTTGGAAACACTTACCCCATTAATTGTTGAACATTTATTGATAATAAACAGAAAAAAACACAAAATGTGGACAGCAATCTGTTTCTCGGCTTACGTCAAAATATATTTTTACTACTAGTTAAATGCAGAAAAATTCTAAAAATAAAATTCCAGTAAACCTTGGTAAATTTTGATTAGAATATTTGATATTTTTGGTAGTTTTAGACGTTAGTCATAATAAAGGTTGGGATACACCTCTATCCTTGCCCAGCAACTCCTTAGGCTTGTTTGGTCCAGACCTAAATTTTATGACCTTACTGCGCCACTAACATCATAAATCGTTAATATTGAAATTTAAAATTTTATATTTTAACAAAGCAGCGGTGCTACTTACACAGGCCAAAAGTTTTTGACTTTACTTTTCTTGTAGAGGCTCGCGAAATAGATTTTTTGAAAAGCTGGGCGGGTTATTTAAAGTATGTACGATCAACTTTGTCTGTACTCTTTTAATTTTTCCCCCCTCTCTGCAATTATACGCATTATTAATAAAAAAAGGAGACCCCCTTACTTTTAAAAATAAATAAATAAAGGTTTTTAGCCTATTCAACATTTTTTTAAAGTCTTCAACTACTCTACCTGCAATTTTACAAGGGTTGCCATATCTTTTTTGTTACTATTTTTTGACATTATACGTCTACTGGTAAGTTGAGCACGTATATACGATTCTCTTTGTTTATGTGGGTAAACGTAGCTTCCAGCGTCAGTTACCACCTTGATGCATCTTTCAACTGATTGTGTATGACGAGTCCAATTAGAAACTTCTAAAGGATAGTTTACAAACTCTTTAATTGTGGCAACAACCCAGGGGCGGATGCAGAAAATAATGCCTAATAATGTTTTATAAAAATGTGTGGCTATGAAAATAGCCTTTTTACCTAGCGGTAATGATTTTTTTATTTTTTATTTTTTACTTTTTTTATTTTTATTATTTCTATATTAATTTTTATTTTTATTTTTTAATATTTATTTAAAACTTAATATACTTAATTATTAATTGCAAATTTATCAATAACTTTTTCGATATCTATTACTGACTCTGTATGAATATTCATCAAAGCTAAACCACTTAAGCACTTTAACCACTTAAGCGTTCCTTTGGCGTTCATTTGGATCTAATGTAATAACAACATTACTCTGACTAAATGGAATATCGTCAGTTGCCGAAACAAAGCTGGGCAAAAATTTTGAACCTGGACTAGCCTTCTTGTCAAAAAGATAAATTCTAATAGCTCTAAATCCACTAGTAATTTTATTTATTAACATTTGTTCCACACAGGAGTAAAAATTATTTTGTGACATTTATTTACTTTACACAGGTGTAAAAATTATTTTGTGACAAAGTGAAGCAGCTTCATCAACAAATAGAAGAACATCATCATTATACTTATATTTACTGAAGTGCTTTAACCAGAGCAAAAATGACTCAATAGTAGTTGATCCCTTCTAATTCTTCATTGCCGTAGAGCTATGTGGCAAATTGTCTTTAAATTCTTCTTTCTTTCTTACTCCTTTAAATAGAACTATTGGGGGTATTGTAGTACTTTGAGGACTTGTACACTCAACAGTTGTTATATTTTAAGCATGTTCTTGGGCAATGAAATAAACTTGCTTTGCTCTTCGTGATGCTAATACAGCTTGCTGGTGATGCACTTACTTCTTTTTCATCCATGTTGTCAATGTTTTCAGGCTAATTAAAAAAGCCATACTGTTTCGGCGGATTTTCCAATATGTTAACATAGTCTTGTACAACAAAAGGGTTAATTTTTTGAGCCCTGGCTGGATTTATTAACTGTGCTTTTATGTAGCTTATATCAGGATGCTGTCTTAAAAAACTAATGATATTTTTTTTCAGGCAGCGTTTTGAGAATAAAGCTGTGTTTGATAATATTAACCTCAACAATATCATACATAGGACTTTAACAGTTTTGCATTTACTTGTATTCCAATATCAAATAATCTAGTTATCCTTGATACTATTTCTAATAATAAGGTTTGGAAGACGATATTGAAAAACTAGTAAAAGAGTTTTACTTTCAACCAGACATTGTTTACACTATGGCAGGCATATCAAATACAATGGCTGTTTGGAAAACTGGAAGAAAGGAAACTTTGAGGAAGTATTACTTGACTATAATCCTCCGTGAGGCATATACGTTATTTCTTGAGAATAATGAAACATTTAAAGTTTGTTTTTCCAAATTTTGTGTTCTCCGTCCACCTAATGTACTGCTTTTAAAAAATACACCAGCTGATCAGTGTAAATGTGTGATGCATGAAAATTTAATTCTACATTTGAGCGGATGGGGCATTGTGTATAAAAATAATTGGTGGGATGATATTTTGTGTTCTTCTAGTGCATTAGATATGTCCAAGTCCTGTTGGAAAAACGAGAGTAAATTATGTAAAAACAGCTTTAATATTAAATGTAACAAGAACGTGGAAGAAAAAGCAATTTGGTTCAAATGGATTAATGAGTACGTCAAACGTGACGACATTGCTAAATCCAAGAAGCGACTGCGCAAGATTCAGCAGCAGAGTACTGTTGGAAAACTTATTGGTGTCATTCAGGGGGTTTTTGAAAAGGTTGTAAAGCATGTGCGGATGAAAAGAATCCAAGCTAAAGAATTTTAATGAATACAAAACAAAATGTACCTTCATAATTTTGCAAATAGTTTTTGCAATGTCATATGCGAATATCAATCTGTAATCCAGTCAGCAGAATGTGAACATATAATATGCGGAGCAGATCGTTACTCTTTTTACAGCGTTTGCAAGAGGTTGCAAGAGGTACACAACAAGGTTTTATTATTTGCTCCGATACTCTGAAGAAAAACAAGGATACTATTTTTGCATTTCTTTTCAAAGTATACGATTATATTATGAAATTGCCTGATTCAAGTTATTACGATGAAGAAATCATTTGGTCGGATGGACCATCGTCTGAATTTAAAAAAAAATACATGTTGCATTTGTTGCAACTTCTGGTCTGTCGATATCACAAAAATTTCAGTGGAAGTATTTCGCCACTTCCCATGGAATAGGTGTAAATGACGCAATTGGTGAGAAAGCAAAATATCTCGTACGTCAAAAAATTATGTATAAGGGAGCTAACACCATTGTTCAATCATCTAAAAATTTTGAATTAATAACCATGTTTATGCCTAAAACAATCATTTTTCATGTTCAGCAAGAAGAGATTGGATAAGCTAACCAGCGAATTCAACAGGAGTAATCTAAAAGATGTTGATGGCATAAAAACGATTCATTGTGTCACAGTAAATCAACGCAGCAAAATCATGCTGCAAGAAACAGCTTTGGACGAAATAAAGTGCACCATTTTTTTTTCAGATTACTTTCATCAAATAGATAAAAATGGTCACAGTTCAATTTTGACACTTTCCGTGGGTGATTGGTGTGTCGTTAATTATAATGCATCAGAATTTCCTGGACAAGTATAAGAAGATATGTCAAATCAAGTTTTAGTATCCACAGTTAAAAAACATTTGTTTGGGATTTCATGGGTTTGGCCAACTAAACCTGATGTGATGCTTTATTATAAAAGTCAAGTTCTTAGAAAAATTGATCCCCCGTCACTTGCTGGTTCAAAAACCCAAACATATATGGTGTTTCACTCCACAGACATTTAAATTATTACTACCATGAACGTCTAAACTCATATTTTGCATGCTTGCATTTGTAATTACTACACTTTTGCTATTATAGTTGTGAAATGATTGCTTTTATCAATTGTTTTGCACGCGGTAACGCACGTAATGAGACTGGTAGCACACGTAACGATGACAATTTGTTAATTTAATCCGTTATTAAAATCTTTTCCCCAAATCCACTTTATGGTTTTATTAAAGCGGCATTTTTAATAACAAGTTGCACATTTCGGTTTTTTAATATGCAACCAATTCACAGATAAACCTTGTCAAACTTTACTTGTTAAAATTTTAGATGTGTGCAAATAACACACGTAACGATTTTTAATTTATAATTTGAGATAAGAAATGTTCAACTTTTTAGAACAAGTTTATGAATATTTTTTGTTGTACTGTTTAAATAATATTTCGCGATAAATTGCAATTTTACAAAGCATTATGCTGAAGTATGAACCACCATATGGTTTATGAGTTTAACTATTGTTCAAAAGTAACTCACGTAACGATGGAATCAATCTAAAGATGGAAGCCGTTCTCGCATCCACTTTTTCCAAAAATGACGTATTAGTTCTTGCACTCGATGCCAGCGTTTTTTAGGATGATAGCCTTTAGATTGAACTGAGTCAGGTGCGAATTGTCTTCCAACTTGCCCAATCAAAAAATGCTTTGGAGTTAATGGAATATTACCTTTTATATCGGCACTCTGATACGTTAATGGGCGAGAGTTCAATAAATTCTCAGCACCAGTAAATGCCGTACAGAGTTTTTCATTTTTAATATCGGCCTTTTTGAGTATCCCAGTAACTGCACGTTTGACAGCCTTGACCATTATTTCAAATACACCGCCTAGATGAAGTTCTAGCGGAGCATTAAAGTGCCACTTGATTCCTTTATTAGCTGTAGAGTTAATAATTTTATCCTATCTAAATCGTTGACAATTTCGTTTAGTTCTCGACATCCTCCAACAAAAATTTTTTCCATTATCCGTTAAAACCACCACTGGTAATCTTCTTCTATTCACCATTCGATAAAAAGCATCGAGGAATGAATTTGTATCTAGATTAAAAGCCGTCTTAAGATGTACTGCTCGTGATAGGTTTACATCTTCTTAATTTACATTTGTTGCATTTTGTGTCTGCATCTTGGATTTCTTCTCGTCCTCGTATGACCCAATATCGTTCAGGTAGTTTTGCTTCCATCACACGATTGGTTTCGGCATGGTAATGTTTAACAATCAGTTTTGTTATTGTATATCTTCTCGGCAAAATGATTGGATGCTTAACATCGTAGGGTAAGTAATGGGCATTTTGCAATCGACTTCAAGATCGCAATAATCCATCTTCGAAAATTTGCAGATTTAAAGAAATGATTTTGCTTGATATCGATATCGGTTTTCCTTTTTCAATGTTGCTATATTCTTCTTTAAAGCATTCTTTTTGAGCTTTAGCTATGATTTCTTATTCGCTTTCATGATATTCATCAGCTACTATATCACCCTTTTTACGAAAGTCTGTTTCAAATCAATAATTTTCTATAAACCGATGGATCCATCCGTTTATCCTGACAAGTTTTTTTCCAACATGAGAACTTGTTTATATCAAACAATGATTTGTTACTTCAGTGGATAATGCAAAAGTCATTAATATTAGATTTTTCTTTACTTTAATTGAAGCCTCTTGTGTGACTTCAATGTGATTCTGTGGCAATTTTTTTTTAGAGAATTAAGGAAACTCGGTTCGTGCCAACATACATTATTACTTTCTAATTCTTTAACTGTTGTTCCTGTTGTTAATAAATCAGCTACATTAGTTTTTGTTGGTATGTATCTCCATTGTTTTAGTTCAGTCTTTGATTGAATAAATCCAACGCGGTTGGCAACAAATGGTTTCAACTTTTGACTTTTTATCCACCATAAAACATTAAGACTATCACACCATATAGTTACGTCTTTAGTTTCCAGTTCAATGCTGTGATAATCTTCTCTGCAAGTCGTAAACCAAGGACAGCTCCAAGTAACTCAAGTCTTGGTATACTAATAGATTGCAATGGACGTACTCGGGCTTTTGACATTATGATTACACAGGTCATTTCTCCTGTGTCATATAAACATTGTTGGTAAGCAACAACACCGTAAGCTTTACAAGAACATCCGTAAAAACATGGATTGACCTATTTGTAACTTTTGAAGTTGTTTGTAAACATCTGGGAATGCTTATTTTTGGGAAATCGTTTATTTCTTGAAACCATTGATCAACATTGTTTGCAATCCTATCCGGAATTGCATCATCCCACTCAACTCCATCAATCCACAATTCTTGCATAATTATTTTGATTCGAATGATATGTGGTGCTAAAAAACCCAATTGATCGAACAACGTTACCATTTATTTAAGCAAAATTCGTTTTGTATATACCATATTTTCTTTGGTTGCAACAGAATGAAAACTAAGTAAATCAAGTTTTGCTTTCCAGATTACTCCAGGTGTTTTCATTGCAGGCAATTCTCCAGAATCTAAATTTATATGTTCTGCACAATCATTTTCTGGTGTTATCTTAAGAACTTCGACCGAGTTTGAAAGCCATTTTCATGCAAACATTCCTGATGAACCCCATAGTAGTGTGAGCTCCTTGTATAATTGAATTTCTACATTTTCATCAACTACAGAAGTTATTGTGTCTTCCATGTAAGTTGCCTAAAGAACAGCTTCAGAAGCCAAAGGAAATTTTTGTGCATACTTTCTTGCGTGTGCTTGCGTTACAAATTGAGCCGCAAAGGGCGCTGAGTTGATTCCAAATACCAGTCAATTAAACTGAAACACCTCAGGCTCGGCAGTTGGATCTAGGTTTCTCCATAAAATTCGTTGGTACCTCTAGTCATCTTTATGTATTCCAATTTTTAAATACATTTCTGCTATATCACAAGCTAAAGCCACGGTGTATTTTTGAAATCTCAGCAAAACAGTCACAAGATCTTGTTGAAATTTTAGACCTTGATAAATAACATCATTAATTGATTTACCATTATATTTTGCAGATCCATTAAACACAATTCTGCAGTTGATTTATCAGGACAAAGAATCGGAAAATGTAGTAAGTACCAACCATCTCCAAGATTCCTTTTATTAATTTTCTCCAAGTATCTCTTTTCTTGATACTGCTTAATAATTATATTGTACTCTTCTCTAAGAATTTTATTTTTTATTAGGCGCTTTTCCGTGTTTTGTAGTCTGTTTAACGCAATTCTATAATTATTGTCCAGCTGCCTATTAATTTTCCATGGTAGTTTTAGCTCATATCTTCCCTTCTTTGTTTTTAGCGAACTTTTTAATGGTGTTGTTTGTATCTTCTATTTCTTTTGTACTATATGTTATTTTTGTAAAATGGGTTTCAAGAGATCCACCAGTACCACCAATACATGTCCATCCAAGCAGCGTTAGTGGAGCCACTAGTTCATTAAATCCTCCCTTTACTTCCTTAATTGCACAGTGCAGCTGAGCATAATCCACACCGATTAGAATGTCAACTTTTGGTTTTGTTCTAATATTTGGGAATTCGATTTTTCTTATATGTTTCCAACTTTTTGACAAATTTGCTCAATTAACTGCTTTTAAGTTTCCATTTACATTATTAACTGCAAAAGCTTCCACTGTAATTTTTGTTTCTCCATTCAACGATCCCAACTGAAATTTAACCGGCATCGTTTCGAAAGAATCAATTTTTCCATTTATCTTCTTTACAGTTACCTTTTCGGTTTTACCTTGCAGTGACAACATCAGAGTTCTAATACGCCTTGGTACTTCCATCGTCAAGCAATACGTTTACCACAACTTTTTTATTTCCATTTCGAAGAATAACTGGCACTGTTCTAAGAGATATGTAGTTCATGACGTGATTTAAATGAAATTGAATGTTCGATGTGTGAGAATTTTCTATTACCGTATCTTTTTCTTTGAAGTCTTTAGAAATTGTTTCATTTTGATGTCTTTTTTTGTGAAGCAAACGATTATGGGTATCTGTACTACCGTCAATCCCAAAAATTCTTGTGTTCCTGCATTCTTTTGACAAATGGTTAGAATTCAAACATCTGAAGCAAAGTTTATTTTTCTTAGTTGTTTCCCATCTTTCTTTAATATTTTGATTTTGAAACGTTGCACACTCCCATATTTTATGATCGTTTTTGCAAACAGAACATTTCTGTATCCAATTTATTTTCTTTTTTTGACATTGTTACCAAAGTAAGAATTTCCTTCATGTGCTTTGCTACCAATAGTTTTTTTTAAACCATGTAGAGTTTACGTTGCTGCAATTTGAAAATTTACTTTTTCAACAAAAAAATATTTTAAAGTTTCAACATTTTCGTTTAATTTATTTTCATACACCCATCGTTTGTATCTAGTTAACATTATCTCTGGAACTTTTTTGCAGTTGATGATACAATGTCTCATCGTCAAGTTCTTCTGTTTTATTTGCTTCTTTTAAGTTTGTTACTGCTACATCGAACAAATCTGAAAGCTTTTCTACATCTCTTGGATTTTTTTCCATCATAGATTTAAAGTTGTTCAAATCATCGAAATACATACGAACTATTTTCGCCATATTTTCTTTCAAGTCTTTCTTTCACAGCTTCATGACGAATGCCCAAGTCCTTCAATTGCTTTTAATGCGTCTCCACATAAATATTGACGTAACTGAAGTAATTTATACTCAGATGTCGCTGGGGCTTGATCAATACATGCGTAGAATGAAGCTTTCCAATTTTCATAATTCTTTTTATCGTCACTATACATTGGTATAGAGACGCGTTTTAGTTGTTTCCATAAATCATGTCCGCTTTTGCAGTCTTTTGATCCAAATCAATTTTTTCATTTTCCATTTTACGCACGATATTCGTTGATTTGATTGGTTCAATTTTTTTACTGCCATTTTCTTCTTTATTATCTTTATACTGGTCATTACTTTTTTGAGTACTTAACCATTTATAACATTGCTTTTTTGTTTCCATTTTAAGTTCGTTTTCCATCCTTTGTTGTTTTAAACTTTATTTTATACTTACATTGCGCTATATCCATTCCTTTACATGTTCCATAATTTCCATAAAATCGTCGTTTAGTTTTTGAATTTCTTTATTGAGATTTCCTACATTTTCTTTTAATTCCAGAAGTTCGTATTTTTTGATAATTCAACCATTGTCTCGAGAGCTTCGTTTTGAGTCTTTGTTAATTGATTACTCAATTCGCGTAACTCGTTTTAACAAGTGGGTTCATCGTCTCCAAGTTGCAGAATATTTTGATGTTTAGTTCGCGTAAAAGAAGACTTTAGAATTATTTTCTTCATATTGAATGCAGATGCTTCATTTTGAACGGTTAACTGATTTTCCATTTGGTTATTTGATTTTTTCTTTTTACCATTCTTCCATGTTGAAGAAACTACCTTCTGCTACCAATTATGATCCTATGGCGATCACAAATAATACCGAATATGTATTATAACTTATATTTTTAAGATCTTAACCGTTTTTACATTAACTATATTACTTATATTCGTATCTGAAAAACAACAACAACAAAACTCTATTTATACAAAAATTTCGATCAATAATAAAAAAAAAACACTATTGTTCAAATAGTCGCCACATAATTGTTATTTAGTTCGTTATAGCCATATTGGTGCTATTTATTAGTTATATCTATCGTGGTATTGGAATGTTGTTTTTCTTTTATGCTAATTCAATTTTCTTTCAATCGCAGTGTTTTTTGAAATGTACCTTCACAGGCCAATTTTACATGAAGTTACAAATGTGACCAAACATATGTAACTTCAAGTTTCAAATGTTGCCTTTTTCACGGCAAGTTACAAATAAAATCAAAAACCTATAAAGACGTGAACCTAACAACTGAGCTAAAGTCATAAATTTATACAATTAAAACATTAACAACACTAAGTAATTTTTTTTTTCTCCCAGGTGAATGTTTGCCTTGGAAAGGCTTAGAACTGTTTAATTGAATGTAATATGCAAAACTTGTTTTTGTGGCCCTCTGCAAAAGATATAAATGCATCTAAAAATACATCATCTAATCTAAAGCAACATGCTAAGGTAAATGAGTGTGAGTATAATGAGTTTAAATCTTTTGAGAAGAATCAATGTTCATAGAGTATTCATTATCTACACTTAATGCTTTGAATAAGATATTATTTAATTTGCAACAAAAAGAAAATCTTTGTCCATTTGTCAACAAAGTAAAAACTTCAGTCTAAACTCAATTGAGTACAATATAAAAAAATGCAAAAAAAAAAAATGCAAAAACCGCCTTTTAAATTTACTATATGGTAAAAAGCGCGTATTAAACTATTGTAGCTAGATTGTTTCAAACGTTTCATAAAAAAAGCCAAAATCATTTCAAAATGGTTAAAATCATTGTTCAAAAATGTGAATCCTAGATCAAAAACTTGTGAAATCGAATTCTCACCAGGTAAAGTAACACGTGGATCTAAAAACTTTTTTTGTTTACCAGTTTATAGCAATTTAATAACAAGGTTGGTGTTGAGATTTTTTTTTTTTTAGTTTACGGTATTATCATTATAACAATCAGTTATTGAAAGACTTTTTAGAACTTAAACACCCCTTTATTGAGTGCTCCTGTTGAGCGGGAATTTTTGTCAGGGTCTAATAAGACATAGAAAAAAGTGACATAAAAAAGACATAAATTGAGTGAATCGTTTAGAAAATTAGTCTCATGACTTTGTTTTACAAAATAGATAGCAAGATATCTGAAAAAATAAAAAAAGTTTGAAAATAGTATTTATTAGAACATATTAAAAATGTCTCGTTCGCTTATCGAATAATATTTGCTTCCATTTTGTCACAAATGTGGGATAAGTAATTCAATTTTAAGATTAAAAATAAGTTAAAAAAAAAGATTTAACAAAAGTCTTTTTTTTTCTTTTTGAAAAGTTGTTTTTGAATAAAATTAATTAAATAATTAGCTAGCTCTAGAAAGTTTCTTATTTCAAAAGTCCTATTTTCCCTATCTATAACTTTTTATCTATAACTAAAAGTTCCTTAGAGTTTC